CATGGTCTTTTTTTCTTATAATCATTAGTTCTTCAAATTCAATTAACAGTTTGTAAAAATCAACAAAATTCTCAAATTAATTTGTATTTGTAATATTATAAAAAGTTTAATTTTTATATAATATAATATAGTTTTAAAAAATACAATACAATATTTCTTATAAGTTTTCCTTGCTGAAATTAAAAAAATAAAGCATTTAAACTCACATTAATTTGTTTCGTGTTTTAGAAAATCAAATGTTTATGTAATTTTATACTTATCTACCTATAAAAAAGGTTTTAGTTATTTTATTGCAATTTGGGAAAAAAAAATAAATAGCTAAAAAGAAACCAAAAACTTTTCTCCATTGAGTACCCATATTATTATTTCATATACACAATGAAATTCTCGAAATATTTAGGCTAATAATTTTGAGTTATTTATACCATTCCATGTTATATCGTGGTATATTATATTTATGCATATTAATTACGAGCATTATAGTATCCTGTCACAATAAAATAGCCCATATTTGTATTTTTATATTGCATTTTTAAAATACAATAAAACCTGTCTTGTGCGGAATTGCACGGGACCAAAAAAAAATTTCCGTTTTAGGCAGGTTTCCATACAACTGAATAAAAAGGAAAATTTCGTAATATAGAGTTATAATATTCTGCACAATTAATTTTGTAACATTTTCCGGCCAATAATAATAAATATCATGGGCTGCATATCATAGGCCTAAACTTAAACAAATCTTTGAAGAAATTATGAGAGCAAATACAACTTTACGAAACGACAGGTAAACTACGACTACGGTTACAATAATTAGCACTGATGTTTAGATTCAAGATAAAATGTACTTATCTGTCGATACGTATTAATCGCTGGTCTTAATAATTCTTTAGTAGAAAAATAAATGTGGGTATCAAAATTATTTTTGTTCATTTTATGATGTGTTTTTCCGTGTATATGAGGTGTATATTATGATCTGCGGGACCAATAAATAGCTTTTCATCTTACGTTTGACAGGTTCCGTTTAATCAAGGGTTTAATTCTGTGTTCAATTATAGAAATCTGCCTTAACCATAGTAAATTTCCTCAAAGAAAAAGATTTCGTCTTATCAAGGGTTCAAGTATAAGACAGGTTTCACTGTAGCTATTTTTATTACAATAATTTATTCTGAATACATTGCTATAATTTGAATTTAAAGACTAGGTAATTGAAAAAGACTCGTACACTCGATGTCAAAGAAAAAATGACGACTGTAAATATTAAAATATTTTGTACTCCATATTATACATGACGTATGTAATATAGAAAATGAATTTTTTTTTTTATGAATTTTTTTCGCCTCAGAAACTATAGTTTTTGGTATTTATAGCGAATGGTCTGCCACAATATTACTATATAATATCACATCCTAGAGTATGCTTAGCAGGTTGGAGGAGGTGATGTATTCCTTCCATAATTTGTTTTTTTAACAACTAATATAAATAATATTACTTATATATGTGCCTGTATCATGTGGAGTCTCTCACCATTGATATTGGTCTAGGGATTATATTTTGAATATCCAGAGTAGTTTCGAATATGGAGCTGTAGGTAGTCTTAACGGGGAGTAATCTCAGTCTATTTGAGATGCACAGCTTCTTCAATGTTTATAATACTTACTATTGACTTAATATTTTACAGAATAAATACAATATTAAAAAAAAAAATAGATGAAAAATTCTAAGTCTAGTAGTAGCTACAATAAAGTCTACGTACGTGCTCACAACTTCCTTACGAAACGTTTGATTGCCGAATGAGTAATTATTACATACCTACCTGGTATTTAAGGTCTAATATATACATACTACTCACTTTTTCTACAAATAATAAAATATTAATAACAGTTGATTAAAAATGTGGAAAAAATTATTTGAATTGGACGTATAAAAATTATTATGACTACCTGCCTACCTATATTATTCTGATTACGGGGATAACTTGATAAGAAATTATGATTAAAAATAGCAATATAACTGTATTCAAATGTTCGTAGATGTGATTTATGTGGAAGGTAATACTTTACAAATCTACAACATTGTTCGTTAGTATGCAATATTTATTATAATTGATTGCTTAGCTATATAATACAACCTGCCATTTGATCAGAAACATTGTAACACGTTTTAACGAAATAGGTATACTAATAAGATGGTTTTTAACATTTTATCTAGGTCTCAAACATAAAATACTTCTGTCATTTTTTATGCAGTTAATGCGTCAAGTATATTAGCATTTATCTTCAATGATCACATGCGTATTATATAATAGACCAGTATTAAAGCCTACGAGTTGAAATATTAACCAGGAAATCGTTTATCGCAGGACACCATGGCCGTTGTTATCGCACAACGGATGTGTTCTACAAACGCTGATGTCGATGAACCATTTTACCGTTGAAAATTTGCACGCCCCGTGTTCATTCAATATTTTTCTTCCGGTTGTCATTTTTTTTTTTTTTTTGACTCATGACATCAGTTTATAATATTCTAATAAAATATGGGATAAATGTATTGTACTAGACATGTTTTGAGGAAATGTTGCTGCTCACTAAAAAACATCATAATATATCATTACAAGCAAATTTACATCACGGAAAATTGAAACTTGTGGGTTGGTGTCAGTAGTATAGGTACTCATAAAGCCATTTTAATTACAGTAGGTTATCCCAGTTGCTGTTTTACAAAATCTTTCGTATAGCACACAATAATAATAATTATTTTTAAGAAAAAAACAAAAATGCTATTACGTTTACAATTCACAATAATAAAGAAGATAAAATTGTAAAGGTTTAAGTACCTACGAGTACATAGCTGTAGTATGTAAAAGAAACCTGGAACTGTTGAAATTCATTCATCACTACATGACGTATACTATACAATGTCAGAACACACTTTTCGTATTGTACATTTACATTTTCGTACTGCACATTGTATGGCCGCTAAAATAGGGACTGGGTTAACCTGCTTTAAATTAAAAAAAAACAATTTAAAACTATCATTAATCGTAAACTGAGATATAAAAAACGATTTAAAATCAAAATATGTTATAACTTTTAGTAGGTAGTACATAATAAAATGTTATAGGTGTCTCAATAAAAAAATGTAAATACCTATTTAACATACAAACCATAAACCTAAAAAAGAGCCTTCATCCTGACATTTAGAGCTCATGCCAACTTCTTCTGCGGTCAATTTAGTTCATTATTTTAGCTATCCGTAGACTTTCTTAATTCTCTAATAAAAATTTAATATAGCAATATGTAATTTATAATGTGGACAGAATATTTAAGTTATAGAAATGCATTAAGAAAAAACCTAACTAGAGTGTAATTAATTATTCATAAGTTTATGATATTTTTTTTAATATCACTGTACCTATTAAAATAAATACTGGTGACTACCAACTAAATATAAATAGTATATGTTCCAGACACATTTTTTTTTTGGCGAGAAGGAAATATCTAATTAAGACAAACATGTTTATTGTATGCGTAAAATGTTTTAAAAGATTACTTACGTTATCTTCACCTTTGACATACACGGGCAGAACCTTTGAAGGAATTCCAAAATTGTCATCAAATGTGTTGTAGCGTTTAACACTAAATAAACATAATCATTAAATTAAATGATTGTTAACAATAAGCAGAAGGTTGAGTCTATTTTTAGTCACCACACTAAAATGATTAATTTATTATAATAAAAACATGTATGTAGATAAATATTTTAAATATAGTGCTTAAAATATTATGGTGCTTAAAAGTTATTGAATTTTCTTGATGCTAAGATAATAGATACCTACCTATACATAATCCATAACACTTAAAAACATTTATAACTGTGGGATACCAGTTAGAGTACCTAATAACTAATAAATAAAGATAATTACCACAGTCATGATTATGGTTACAATTGTTTAATATATTATGTACAATATACAAGTAAAATACTATCACAGCTGTTGAATAATAAAAAACGGACAGGAATACAGGATACAAACCCTGAGTATTAAATAGGCACTCGAACAAGTCAGTGTCGTGTAATTATTATTATTTTCAAACGTATATATATATATAATAACACTCATAAAACGATTCTGAGGAGAACTTTGTGAACATTGTAGGTGTAGTATTTATATTTTATAATAGTGCCTATAGTGACATCTTTGTGTTTTCATTAAATTTAAAAAAACAAAATTCCTGTAGTTAAGATTTCACAAAATCTAAATGAAATGAGAATTGTGAAAATGTTTTTATAATTATTTCAAAAATACTAGCGATTATTGATAACTTTAAAGTGTCATTTATATTTAATTTTCAAATCCAGAGTGATTACTGATTAAAAACAAGTTCCTTTTTTTTTTGAATTTATAAATTAGTTTAAGTAATATTATGCTACTTAGGCTTACTTACCTACCTATGAATAATGTGATTTCAAATTATTAATTTGGTAATATTATTAGGTATTAATATCCTTAATATATTTATAATAATGATATAGATCCTTATTTTTTATGTATACCAATTAAATGAAAGTTTCAGATATTTATTGTAAATAAAATTAAAAATTAAAAAAGTAATATAACGTCCAATACCTACTTCAAAATAAGACTTCGTTAACGATATTTAAGTTTATCTTAACTCATATATACCTATATCAAATTACGAACATATAATTTAAAAACATTCTATATTCTATATATGTTTTGATATCAACATGACATCATTATATAAGTTCTAGCTATTAATAAATATAATATATAATTTACTATAAAATACACTAATAATGCATTATGAATAGGTAACACTAGTCGTACCTATGTATTATGTATGAATAGTAGCGTGCGTAATTGCAAAACAATTAAAAAACATAAACTATTGAATCAGAAACATACCTAGGGCATGATTGAAGGCAGGTATAAGTGTACCGATTATTATTACAGCTAGTTAATGGTTTGCACTTACCGCAATAAAAGGTGGAAGTAATAAGGTAGTTAAAAAGATTAATTGGAGTTCATTCAATGTTCTAACTCAGAAGTAGGTAGTCTGCCTTTTTGAAATTGACTTCAAGATAAACAATGTCCGATAACAACAGTGATGACAATGAAAGTTCAAATTTAAATGAAAGAGAACTCAACGAAAAATTAACCAAAGAACATAAATTCACAGTTAGCGAATCGTCTTTAAAGTTTCAACAACTAGTCTCTATTTTTGAAAACGAAGAATCAGAAACAAAATTTAAACGTAAGTATTAAAAATGTTCATATAATTTATTGGCAGTTATTAAATTAGTACCTTTATGCGACAAAAATCGTAATACATAGAGATCACAACTATTATTTATTTATTTTCCTCTTTAATACATAAGTTAGATAATAAAAATTATGATTTAAATTTCAGAAATGTATTCATTTTGTACTTAATTAAATAGATGAAGTAAATATAATTGAAACAAATAATTGTTCATTTAATATATCTACAGTTTATCAACCGATATTTAACACTATTTAATACGTACGTCATATACCCTAATAATAATTAATTAAATATTAATACATATTTTGAAAGTTTATTATTATAGCTATAATTAAATAACTTACAACATAAATAATTACAAAATATGTTACATTGTTTAATATTTCAGATACATACTATAACTTGTAGATACATAGAATGGTTATTAAAAAATATTAAAAGTACCTACCTATAAAAACGTTTTAAAAATGTATTCAATTAGACGATGAAAACTCCAAATTGAATTTACCGGAGGATGTAAGATTGATAATTACGCATACAGGTATTTTAAGTAGGTACATTCTAAATTTCATGTCATAACTCCTATCAAACTTAGTGAAATAGTAAAATAGTAAAACAGTGATCTACCTAAATATATTATTAAAAACAATGTAAATTTCCCACGCGGTTTTTTACGTTTTCAAAATAGTAATAAATATACATTTTTCAACACGAGAAAAAAAATAATTGACAATATTGACCGACGGACGTGTATTATAACTTTTATCGTTCTTTGGAGGTCAACTATATATATATTACAAGTTTTTATGTAATATACGTACGTCGGTATGACCGGTATAGGTAATCATAGGCGTATTAATATATATATAAATTGTACCTAATTTACCAACAATAGGACTATAGTCAACTACCATATTATTATATAATGCTCATTATATTATACTTTACGAGCATCGTAATATCGCTTTGATGTGATTCGGACTACAGTTAAAATATTTCTGACTGCAAAACTATAACGACGGTATTGATAAACAATATTATTATATATGTACACTGGATAGATAAAACTCTCGTACTGTTGTGGCCGGAAACGTTTCCCGTAATATTTGCGTGTACTGCGCGGACATAAAATGATTATTATTATATTAATCACCTACTTAGTGTAATCAAATATTGAATTACTGTTAACACAACGATCGGTGGCCACTGAAGGATTTTAAAGTACACAACAACTAAATTGGTTGCTCTTGATGTAAAGGGAAATCGGATTCAAATAACTATGGATTTTCATGATTATTGAGATTTCAGAATATACAATTAAAGTATAGTGATATATGCCTGATACAGTAAACAGTGTTGTACGCTAGAGTATCATATGCATGTCGTGTCGAGCAACAGATTTTTAGACCAAAAATGTGGGTTAGGATTCTGCAATTTTTGTCGTTTTGGGTTTAGAAAAGTGTAAACATAAAATAAGAAATGTATATTTCATAATTTAACATTTCTAATTATCGCGTACTAAAAATACAATAAATGACTTCTATAATCATTGCATTTTGTAAATCTCTATACTCAAATAAATTATTTTAATGAGCATTTAAAATCGAATCCAGCTTCGAAAATTAAATTTTGAAAATTGCTACAAGTGAAAATTAAATAATCTAATAAATAAAAAATCTCCATCTCAAATATTTTGTATTATTAGTTTTTCACGAAAAAAAATATATATACGGTAATGGAGTTATATAAACAGTTAGCACCTAATGACAGCATAATTATACATTTATATATATTATTTAATTATTGCGACGGAAAATTCACTATGATGATGATGACGATATAATACAGGGGGCTCAGCGTTTTACACAAGGAATGTCCCAGTTTCAAAGCTATGTGTTAACTAAAGTATTAAATTCTTTCGCAGAGTTCTTCGGGGGTTGTTTTTAGAAGTGGATAAACTACAGAAACTTATCTGGTTCACTTAACGACTGAAAGTCTGATTGATCGGGCTAGGACGAAATCCTGGGGAGCTATGATTTTTCGAAACCAGGAAAATTCTCTATTATTGAACACCCTGTATAATCATTATGCTCGTAGTGTATGATATGACTATAACTAAATATTATAGCATAATATTAAGGCGATTACTTTTAGCGTGACACTCATGTCCACGCGAATTTAGCTCTGTCGCAGAGACGGCTGACGGCAACGACGGTGGAGGAGGTAGTGCAGCCAGGGGACGCTAAAAAAGCTGAGCGAGCTGATGGAGTGGACGAGGCGGACGAACCGGGAGCAGCCGATGCGTCGTCGGCGGACGGTTTTGAACGGTCGAACCGCAGGCCAGCCCAAGGGGTGGCCGTCCCAAGTGGCAGGAATTCCTCGATCAGTGCAGCGTACACGTCCACCGTGTCCGTAATGAAGCACGGCGGCGATTGGATGGGAAATCCGGAGCGGAACCTGTTGTTTGTCATTCACCCGTGGTGCATGTTGCACAAGTCGGGCGCGGACAGGCAGTCGGAATTTCCGCCACCCGGATTTCTGGAACGCCTCAAGGCCAAGCTGATGGCCCTGCACCGGCAGTCGGACGAGCAGCAGCGGCACAGCCCGTCCACGGCCACGGCGGTCAGGCGGCGCCGACACACCCACCAGAGGATCAAGTGTTGGTTCCAGTACACGGCGACAGCGATGGGCGGCGGTGGGTCGACAGCCATGACGACTGTCCACGCCGCTTATCCGCGAAACGAGCCGGCGGCAGTGGTCGATTTTCTGTCCGTCTGGCGGCGATGCGCCAATAGCGTAGCAGCCGCTTGTAGCTCAGCTGACCGCGACTGACCACTGCTGCAGGTGTCTCGACACCCGCACCGTTTCGTGCATTCCGGCAGACACTCCACGGGTGTCCGAGGCCTGCGACATGCGATTGCAATCATATTAATATTATTGTAGATTATCAGTAGGGCTATGATTTATGATAATCAATATAATAAAACAATAAAATATTAAAATCAATTGATATACCTACAGCAAATTTACCAAAGTATCGTGAAAGAGAAGCTTCTTTCAATATTAAAACACTTTTAATAAATGTACTTACCATATGTGAGCTATATCATTTTCGTCTAACGTCTTACTTTTATCCAAACGCATAACATTTTTTGTACGTTTTCACATTTTTTTTCGTCAAAGACAAAATCACTGATTTTATGAAATTCAAATTAGGGACGTAACAGGACGCGGCATCTAGTTTCTTACGCTGCGTTACTTTAAATATTAAAACACACATTATCGTGTCGATAATTAAAATTTTCAACAATAGAAATTATATTATTAAAAATTATAGGTCATGTGTATATGAGCCGATTCGTGTATATAACTAATCAGATTTCTAAAAGGATACTGCAACAAAAAGATAATAATGCATATGAATCCCAGCCCTGTAGATAGTTATTAAGTATAACTATACATTTATACATATTATATTCAATTATATCATTTTACTGATTATAATAAAATAGATCTGGGTCTGATACCTATTATACATTTGTAGGTACCTACACACACTATTATAATATGATCTGCAAAGTAGTTAATACAGGCATCTGAGTTTCAAATAATTGAGTGAATATTGTTTACTGGTAATGTGAGTCCGAAAAACTTCAATGTCCCGACAACATGTTGGAGATAAAAAAAATGAAATGGCATCTGTAGGATTTAATTTACAAACTATTACAACTTGGTAGTGTTGTACCTACATTATACATTTCCTAGTATCATGGTAAGTCGTAATTTTTGATTCAGGATGCCATGTTTTGCCTTGTGAAATATACACATACGTATATTTAACACAAAAAATCATTAAAAGCAAAAATATTCGTTTGGCTGTCATATAAAAAATAATATTGTATTAATTATCTAAATAAACTGGTAACGGCACACGAGTTTAATACTTATTAAGGTAAAATGTTATATTAAATAAAGAAGACATTTAGACATTTTCTTATATTTCTGTACATTATACACAATATGCATCATAATCATTATCAACACAACTATATTGTTCAATTCGCAATTTTTCTGTATATATTATTTTAAGACGTTGACAGTATTATAACATCATTATCTCGAATCATCAGCTTGTAGAAATATTAACAATGCATACACAATATACTTTTAACTATTTTAAAATTATTATTAAAAATTTAAAATGTAAACGAAGGTAAGTTAATTTGTATACATACACCATAATACAAAGTAAAATACTATTTATTAATTTTTAATTTTATTGAATAAAAAATAGTTAGACTATTTTTATTTTTCAACTTAATTATTTTTATGTGTTTATAATTATTGTGTACAGCTACAAAAATTAAGACAACAAAATACCAAAATACATTATACATAATAATACAGAGTATAATATATGTATAATAAACATTGTATATATATTTTTTCGTCAAAAAATAACGAAACTAATTAGCTTCTTAAATATGTAAAAAAAAAAAACTATAGCAGAAACCTAAAATGATAACTCTACATGCTACGAGTACAACATAACAACATTTTTGTAATGAATTCACTAAGCCCCTGAAGAGCTCACTTAGATTCTTCTTTTAAAAGCTGGAAATTAATTTTTAATTTTAATTTTCAAATAGTATAGTAAATAATACATTAATAATATTTCCGCACCAAAGAGATCAAAGTGTCAAACTTAAAGTATATTTTAAACAATTGTGTTATAGTCACTGTATCCGGTACGAGCTGCACTCGATAAAAAAAAATATAGATAAAAAATGAATAATAATTTTACATGCTATGATATAATATGGCTGTATACCCACGGGGTCATGTACCTATATTAATGTGGATTATCTTATACATATTATAATTATTCATGTTATTTACGCTAAATTATTTCAGAGAAATTTGTACACGCGCAATGCTATAATCGGGAGTTCCCACTAAATACCGATAAACTACTAAATGAATAATCTCAATTAAAAATGAAATAATTAACTGTACCAAGATCTACACAAAATATTATTTTTCTGGTGGTTAAAATAAAAATAAAAATATGTACTCATTTTTATGAATGAATAAAGTACTCATGTGACAGTCGATTAAAGTACTCACGATAAGTAGGCACCTATTGTCAAATCACAAAGATTAAATAAACCTAATATACACTTAAGTATTAATATTGATTTAATTTAATATTAATAATTGAATTGCGAATGATGGTCGTAAGGGAATCCTATACGAAGAGCCTGTGGAAATTGTACGCAGTTGACTAATATGCGTCTATCATTGTGTTCTGTGTGTACCTATGACGCGTTCCTCCGCCCTCGACTGGCAATCATCGGTAGACAGGTGTCAGGTGACGAGACAAGACTCACAAGTACTAAATACGCATAACAAGGCTTATCTTTACAGAATTCTTCTCATTACACAACACTCAACACACTTTGCACGTGAAGACGGTTTGGTAAAGAAAAACAGCTGGGAATCGTTTGAACAGCAACAATTTTAATTTGAGTTTTGAGTCTGACCAACGGAAGATATCGTGATTACCCACCCGCGATTAATGTTAAGCCGGATTCACACTGTGCGGTGTCTACGTGTCGCATTCAGGTTATCCGTATATTTAAGACGTTGGTAACAAAATGTCGTTAACACGTTACCTAATACCTACAAGTTGAATATACATAATATTAATATTTTCGTATGTACATGGACGAGAGTGTGAGGTGGTTTTCTTTATTTCGTATTAGGCTGGTAAAAATAATGAATAATATTATGTACATATTATGTACCTGTACCACAAAAAATATTTTTAATTCATATAGGCATTAGATACCTATAGAAAACAAAAAGGACAGTAATAAAAGTTTTTTATTTTCTGATATTTGAAAATGTGGATTTTTATACGCATTTTAACTTTTTGTAATAAGCAGATAATTATATGATGGAAAACTAATTATACCTCTCTCCAACGTACCTAAGCTTTCCTAGTGACTAAAACCACATGTGTCACACACATTTTTTTATGTTCTACGGCGGCGCCTATCCCTATGTCTACTTGTGGCGACAACAACATTGTTAATTGTTATCATTATCTTGATCGTTTATTGTTTTAAAGTGGTGGTTAGATGCCTAGGCGCACATGCGGGGGTGCCAGGGGTTGCTTTACGCCCTCAAGTCCTTAATTAACATTCCCAGATTATTTGGAGTTAAAAATATTGTTTAAAGTGTAGTTTTGTGTTAATAAGAAAGAGTTTATTCCAGGTTATATTGGTAATGCACTAATGCCACGAGCATATATTTTTGTTTAAATATGTTTAGTATATTTAAATTGAACAAAACAAATATAAAAACAAAAAAGGTGAAGTAGTGAAAATTTGCATGACCCTGATTGCATCCCTTGTTTATTGGAGAATATAATAGTCGTAATAATTAATTGTAATATATCGGTACTAGGTACTATAATGGTTCTTTATTGAAAATCAGGTTCACTTCATCGTTTTTTTTAACGTATATGGTTATTTATAATTTTATTTGAAATGAAATTAATTTATGCCTGGTGTGAATAACCTTATAGCCGTATAGGGGGCTAGGGATCGACCCCCCACTAGTCACTTTAGGGTAAATATTTTAGCACTCCCTAGGTTAGGACTTAATGGCACCCCAGAGATGCGTGGTTTAATATGTTAACAAGACACAAAAAACAAAATAATACGATTATAGTATTTATAGCATCATATTATGTGGACTATTTCAAAATTTGTATTCTCCTTATGGTATATGTGCCGGGGTAAGTGGTATACTGAATTGGCTTAGAGCAGTAAACCTCTTAAACGTTTAAAACGCATTCACAGCTACGTCATGTGTCAAGTGGTGCTTATCAAACCGCGTTGTCTTTGAAAGTTACTTTTTTGGTAATTTGGTATCATGTAATTACCTACGAAGTTGCAACCAAGTACACCGAAAATAGACTACAGCTTAACTTTTACACCAATATGGTTACCGGTTGTAACCGTAGTTACCACGCCCTCGTAATACTCGTCGAATCTGCGAATCCGGCTTTCGTTCTCAGTATAAACACTGTTAGGGATTTCTGCAACACACTGCAACCACACTGACATACTGGTGCTCGGTGTTGCCGAAATGTAAGAAAAAAGACATTACTGTGTTACATAGGTCTTTGGGGTGAATTTTTAACTCTAATGCTCACTGTTATTCGTATCTTTAAATTCAGTGCATGCATACTATAATAATTATTTATTTATTTTTGGCAAAAATTAGTTCAATCTACAGTATTAATAATAATAACGTACCTATATTAAAAAATATTTGTAGACTGGTACGACTTTGTCTCCATTCTGAATCATATTCGTATGCAAATATGCAATAATTTGTCACCGAATTCAATTTTAACACACCTATTATAGTCACTAGGGTTTTTTTGGTCATCCCTCCCTTACATGTCAATAGCTATAAACATAAACATAAACTATAAAATAAAATTTTAAATGCTTATTTTAGCATTATTTATATATTTGGAAAAAAATTACTTTAATTACCTATCTTAAAATTATGTTTGTGCATATTTTTTCAAATCTAAAATCCCAAAACCCGTATTTCGACATGTCACATGTGGTTTGAGATCGGATATGACCATATACTTACCGTGAAATATCTAAACTAGAACATGAAAAATTTAAATTTAAAAAATGGCATTCAATATTCTAGTAGCTAGGTACCTTTCTAACATACTAATCATCTCTAAAATCATTAGAATTTTTAGTTAGTAGATTATTATAATAAGTACAGTTAGTAACATTTAATTATAAGTTTCTAGCATTTGTTTAGAACACCTTATGCTCCCCCCCACCCCCTTCGTTGTGTCCGTTCGTCTGTTGGGCAGTTAGATACCTACGAATTTAAAGTTACGATTGTCAATGTTAATTTTTCCATTTTAATATTTGTACTTATTCAAAATTTAAAACAAAAAAATAGAAATAAATTTAACAAGATACTTATTAATGAATGTAATATTATAATACTACAGTTGAATAAACTAATAATTCTATAACGGTTATATTCAAAGTAAACTCGCATCATAGGTAGCCAGTATTAAAAAATATCATAACAAAAATAGTATTTAATTTAGGTGCATAATAGCCATTATTAAAAAATGGGTGCCCAAATAAAAAGGCTATTAATTGAATAATTATTTAAATATATATAGGTATACAATAGGTAGTACCCATAGCATTTATAGTGTATTGTTACTATTGGGACTTAGTTTACCAGATTAATTCAGATCATTGGTATCTAGATACTATAAAGTTAAAGTAAACTATACTTAAATAAATTTAACTATTATATTATAATTCGAGTCTCGTCGTAGCTAAACAGGCTAAATCTAGGTTAATTATGCGCATAAATATTATTTAATCTAAATATTTTTATAGTAAATAGCACCTATATGTTGTAAAAAATTAAATTTTTGTTTTTATCTAAAAAATGTATTTGTAAGCTTTTGGGTACTGTAAATATACGGTTAATATAAAATGTATAACTTATATAAAATAGTACAATAGCCAATAATTAGATAATAATAGTGAGTTTATATTTGAACATTATATAAGTATAGAATTTATCCTGGTTCAAAGAAAGACAAATATAATTTCATGTTAAAAAATTGAATATGTAATAAAATAAATATTATCTTGGCATCTATACTATTATTGAATTTCAGGTAATTTTGATTTTAATATTATAAGTATAGCAACGGACATTTCGTTTGATATTAAACAAACAGTAAATTAACTACAATAACTTACAACAAATTAGTAGGTCATAACATCAGTTACATTTAAATTTTATTCTAAATTCATACAAAGTATAATAAATCGATACAAAGTAAGTTATAGACTACAGAGTATTATACACAGTACATAATCGAAAATTGTATTTATCTAGATGTACCCAGACGACACAATGGAAGAGTTGAAAGAGATTATATCCTGTCAAAAGGAAAAAATTTGTAAGTTGAATAAAAAACTAGAAGAGTTTGATTCAGTTGTTTCTGACAGAAATAACTTACGAGAACTTTACAAACAATTTGAAGAAAGTAACGAAAAAAATATGAAAGATCATAAGAAAGCGTTTGCTGAATTATCAGATAAGTGTGACCAACAAACCGAAAAGCTTAAGAAAATTGCAAATTCAGAATACCAATGGGAGCTCAAGTACGGGAAACTAGAAGACACCAACAACTGTATAAGTCGTCAAATAAAAGTTCTAAAATGTAATGAAAGTAAATTACAATCACAGTTAGCAGAGACTGAGACAACTTTGAAATGTGTTCAGAAAGAATTATGTACCACTAAAGTAAATAATTTCTTTTCATAATTTTAGAACGATACAATTAAGTAGGTACCTACTAAAAAAAATTGCCGACCGTTATTATACACTTAAAAAGTAATTATAGATCATTTAAACATTTTAATCGAATAAATCTAAATTTATGAAACACCGAATTAAATAACTTAAAATAAAATAATATTATATTATACTAATTTCAAATTCTTTCACATATCACACAAAGTTAGGTACCTACCTACTCCTGGAACAGTGAATTGTATTTTACTGTCTACTAATGATGGTACTTAGGTTTATATTTTTCAAAAAGTAGGTAGAACATTATTTGTTATAATTAATTTTCCAATCTTGTTTTCACGCACAATTTAATTTAACTAATTTTGTTAAATTTGGTATGGCCGCGTGTTTAGTTTGATATTTTCGCTGTATTCCCAGACAGCAATTTTGAAGACTTATTCACTATCACCAGTCAAATAATACAACAATTAAGAAAAAAGTTGCCAAATTATTATGGTTTACACGTTACATTTAACCTAGGTTATCTCTACTTGTACTGCCTAAGGTTAGATTAACCACAAACCATGCAGTCACATAATAATATATAATATAGGTAAGCTATGAGGTGTAAGCTCATTGAATTTTGAGTTTTTTTACTTTATGCACCTACCTATTAGATTTATTCCACAGTCACTGATCGACCAACATTCCACATACCAAATTTTAAATAATAATACTTTACAATATTTTGTTGAAAATATATTAATACAGTTGGTTTTATATTTTTAGGCGGAATTGGAAGAAAAGAACAGTTGCGTTAATAAATTGAAGACAAATTTGAAATGCAATGAACAAGAGCTGTGTAAAGTTCGAAAAGAACTTGAGGATTGCAAAACTGAATGCAATAAACTAAACGAAACGATCGCGGGTTTGAATACGGAGTTAAACTGCACAAAAAAGAGCCTATGTGAGGCGAAAATGGCTGCTGCCCGTATGGAAGAAAGGTTTCTACAAGAACGTGAAGCCTTAACAAACGAGTTGAAAGCAAGTTGCAAAAAAATCAATGACTTAGAAATGAAATACGACGATGCAATGTGTAAACTAAACGACGAGAGATGTAAATCCAAAAAGTTTTCTTCAAAATTAATAGAATTGAATAAATTGAGTGCAAAGAATCACTTAGAAATGAAAAACCGGGTACAGAAATTACAAGATGAAATTTGTGCAAAGAATAATGAAATATGTTGCTTGAAGAGAAGAATGGCTGAGTTGCAGCAAGACATTGACTGTAAGTGTACGGAAATAAACGCACTGAAAAATAAAGTTTACGAGAGGGAATGTCAACTAAAACAAATGTGTCTATTGTCGGAAAAAATTGAGCAAATCAAGTGTTTCGTCGAAACTTGTTGTTGTCCCAAAAAGAAATGCGAACCAAGTCCTTGTTGTTGTCCAAAAAAGAAATGTGAACCAAGTCCTTGTTGTCCAAAAAAGAAATGCGAACCAAGTCCTTGTTGTCCAAAAAAGAAATGTGAACCAAGTCCCTGTTGTCCAAAAAAGAAACCCGAACCTTGTTGTGAACCAACTCCTTGTTGCCCGAAAAAGAAACCCGAACCTTGTTGTGAACCAACACCTTGTTGTCCAAAAAAAAAACCAGATCCGTGTTGTAAACCAACATGTTCCATGACAGAGCCTCCATGCGGTCTATCCAACAGCACAAAAGCTGTGATCCAAAAATATGCCTCAAAAACGAATAACGATATGTATAAAACGGAACTAAAACAATTGAAATGTGATCTAGAAGATTTACAACAGAGTATTGGCAACATCTAAAAATAAATAACTTTTAACTACCTACTGATTCAAGTAAAAAAATATGCGTGTCATTAAAATAGATTCTATATATTATTATGTATTATATAGAAGAAAAAATGGCTATAAATAAATCAAAATTTATTTTAACCCTGTAAAAGTTGTATATTATTTATTTTAACATAAATATTATGTTTTTTTGTGCTGGATAAGCGTTTTTCGTTTCTGGCCGATTTTTCGTAAGGTTTTCGTTGTCATGTAACCTGCTTATTTACAAACACATATATTTTAAGAAATTGTGATTCGTTGACTTTCCTTGAAGAGGAAAAATGTTGAGTAAATAGCGTGCTATGATTTTTTCCTTAGTTTGGACGGCATTCAAATTCTTAGTTTTACCATGTTGTAAATTATTAATAATAATGATACCTGTCAGGCTGTCTACATAATACATATTGTCCACTAAAGGGACACATAGGTGATAGGTATACTGCATTTATACATTTTATTACTGTAGGTATTCAATGACATTTTCAAAATACAATTTTAAACCATTTTTCTAATTTTTCAAATCTATGGATCACATTGATATTCATTTCCATGATCTTGTAGAAAAATGTAACATCGTTATAGGCAAATGTTACAGATCACTTATCCTCAAAAAAATGTCGAAATATGAAATTCTACATTCCTAAATTCATTGTCAGAACATCGATGAACAGAAATATATTATGGAAAACTGTACAACATAGCATTGAATTTCGAACGTAGGTAATGAGTCGGATGTCGCTGAGTAGGCAGTTTTCTTCCTATAATAAAAGAGGGAAATTAGAGTCTTATGAAATGTATGTTTCTTATATAATGATAGTCAGTAAATAATTCTACTTTTTGTAGATTGTCATTATTATCGACCGGGGAACTTTTTAACGGATTAGACTTTTTTCGTATTTATGGTAAGCTTTGGAACGCAAATAGTATGCAAGCACACCTGAAAAAAGTTGTGGATTTATAGTTTTAAACAAAATTGTTGATAAAAACAAGTTGCAACCAGGATAATTTAGGAATTTAAACTACCTACCTAATCAATTCTCAGTGTATTTTAATAGACTCTAAGTACCAGGCAAATAAAGAAATTTTATAAAAACTTACACTTTTCCGATAACAAATATTTTATGGATGATTTAGAGTAGTAATACAATTGATAATAGGTACCTATTTTATATACAAGATACCATAATACCCAATGACAGTCTTTAATAAAGACTCATTATAAATGTACATATAACATTATTAACATTGATGATCATAAAAAAGTTAAATAAAATAATGTGAGTTATACCTTACAAAAATCATAACCATCTAACACAGGCATTGAATTGACTTAGTTTTGGGAAAAGAAGTTCAACTAGATGAATATAAGTACCAAATACATCTTGTTTACTCAGAGTTCAAAATTATTACATATGAATGATTTTTTTTTTTATCAAAATTAACTCAGTATAAACAGATTTTTAAAAATCGGGAAGTTTATAATTTTGTAAACACACATTAATTAATATTGTTGCATGGAAATTCAGTCAAAAACAAAATTCTTAACATTTTACTTACAACAAATATTTTCCAGTTTCTAGTAAATTTTTTTATGTTTGTAAGAAAAATGTATGTAGAATTATAAATTAAATTATTAAATAATATATTAAATATTTTGCATTTTTGTATTAAAATACACATTTTGCAGTACTCGTTGGTAAATTGGGTATTGTCAAACTGGATATTAGACTGTTTCTTACATATCTTATTAACCAATTTCATAATTATATATTTTTCATATCCTTATTTATTATTATTATGCAACACGAGGCATAACTGGACCAACCATGATTACAAATAATAATATATAATATTACATTTAATATAATCAAACATTTTAAAATTTAATTTTGACTTGTCATTAAGATATCAAAATATGAGTAACTAAAAAAAATATTGTGTACAATCCATTTATTTAAATTAGCATTCAAGAATATTTTCTAGATATGTTATTAGTGCTGTATAATTTAATTTGAAGAAAATACTATAATGACATAAGAACTCATTTAAAAAAAGTAATTAATATTTGTAATTACCTTGGTTCAAAGAAGTATACTAATCTTTATTGCATTGTATATTTTCCTGAAAATCCATGCATAAAATGGCTGTTGAAAGCATAGCTTTATTTAAACATCCATAAGTAAGAGGTAATTTTTTTTAATATTTTGAAAAAAATGGAACAAAAAATATAAACATAAAAATGATTATGACTAAGAAAAATATTTATTACATAACTTATTTTAAATTAATTTATATATAACATGTGTAAGAATTAACTCCAGCGGTAGTGTGCGTATGCTCTGTTTGCCTCACATTGTTTATGTAGATCCAATTTTTTTTGCACGACTTTTCCCTAAACAGAATAATAAATATATTAAAACAGACATGACATATTTTACAAAAGTGTATCAAGATAATTTCATTAAAACCCCTTAATTCGATGTTTTATTAAAATTGTTTTAGTTAAATATTAAGAGATATTAAAAATTTAAAAACATTCTTACATCATTATTAGAGGCTTTGATTAATTCGGTGGCCATAAAGTCAGCAAAACTAATGGATTTGTCTTTTTCGCGTCCACACTGTACAAACCATCTCATTGCATAAAATGTTGATTCTTTATCTGTAATTGGTACTGGAACCTTAAAAAAAAAACCATAAAAATAATAATAACAATTAACTTTTGAAATTTAAAATATCGGCTTTAATATTTTTTTTTTTTATTGATCTTAAGCTTCGGCAACTGAGGCCATTAGCTGTAGTAGGATTTGTATTGTAGGTTTGTTTGTATTGTATATTTTGGGACGGTAGGGGGGAACACGTGTGTGTTTGTTTTTGGCAGAATTTCGAATGGGGCACCCGTAGGTTTCTGCCATGCACCGGGGGTGGGTGATGGCAGCACTTGTTCTCCGGTCACCGCGACTTGACCGGAGAAAAATGCCGCCCGGTAGCCGAGGATCGAACCGCGACCGGCTGCGTCGCAGCGGACGCGTCAGACCACTCGGTCACCTCATCCCCCGGCTTTAATATTATAGTACCTGTAAGTTATTTTTATCAATATAATTAGGCAATATTATGAGCTTTAAACAATGCAATAAAATAAGTAAGTCACACTTACAGACAAGCAAAAAAAAAAATGGGAAAAAAGTTAAAACTGCTATCGATTTGAAAATCATTGATAAAAATGTAACGAAAAAATACTTATAAGTATTAAGAATAAAATAAAATAAATACAACAGAAGAGAAGCATTTTTAATAACTTAAAATATGTGGAAAAGATTGAAACTGTAAAATATTAGTAAAATAATTATTAATTGTTTTGTTATATAATAAAAATAAATCAAACCTGGTAAAAAGATCCTCCTCGTTTTACTGCAGTCAATTTTAAAAGTGGTTTGCAGTTAGCAATTGCTTTTTTCAGTATGACTATAGGATCTATAATCATTGAAGCTTTTTTCTCAGGATCTGTTTCTCTGTTATACTTCTCTAACTGTAGCTTTTTGATTTTTTCAAAGGTCTTTAAAAAAAAAATAAAAGTTTAAGTACCTATTTTTATTATATAAAATAAATAATTACAATCTATACCTACATAAAAAATTAATCAATTTCGATTACATGTTTAAAGTGACAAGAATGGACGAATTGGAAAAGCATTTAGTAATGCCATTAACATAACAGTGTTAACCATTAAATTTAAATGGCAATTTAAAACAAACATTAAAAGTGTTTTACTATGTAAAAGTTACTATAAAAACTGATAAGTTATCCCTAAGTTTGTTATGTATATGTAGGTCACCTTCAGGTAACAAGCACAAATGTTTGACTATTTTAATATTTTAATTATCACATTGAATTTTTCAAATGAAAATATTATTATTATTGGGGACGTTAACTTAAACATAATCGGTGTGGATAATGTAAATAACGAATATATAATATTATGTCAGAAAATGGATTTAAGTCATTTATCAATGTGTACACTAGAACTCCAGTAGGAATGAAACATTCTTGTTTAGAACATATTTTTTTAAAAATGAAAAAAATCCTAACTTCAAAATAGAAGCTGGAGTAATACAGACCAATATAACTGATCATTTTTCCACAATTCTGTCTATTGAAATAAAAAATAAAAAAAAAGGAAGTTACTAATAAAAATGTTAAAATAATAAATTATAAAAAATTAAACGAAAAGTTTAAAAATGAAATGTGGACTGAGGTGTTTAATTCAAGTGATGTAAGCAACAGTGTAAAAATTTTCATAAATAAAGTATCTCAAATAGTAGATTCTTCAACAACAATAAAATTGGAAAACTCAAAAAATAAAAAGATAAAAGAATGGATGACACAAGGTCTACTATGCTCTGTACACCATAAGCAAGAATTATCCTTAAAAGTAACTAAACATCCAAATAATGCTAAACTTGTTTCTTATTATCACAAATATAAAAATAAATTTACAACAATATTATATTAAGAGCAGCAAAAGATACATATTTTAAAAATAAATTTGACAAAGTATTTTTCAGCCCTTAACTTACTTGGAAAGTAATAAATGAGATTACAGGAAAGCATATTTCTAATAAGGAGGATATTAGTCATGTTAAAGTGAATAATAAAGTTTTAAATACTTGTGACGACCCGTACATGGTTTCCAACACATTTAACAGTTATTTTACTAACTTAGGGAAAACACTATCAAATGATATTATTAAGTCTACTTTGATATACAACGAGACTACTTCTGGAGTCTCTTTCAACACTTGTTTCACTGAAATTATTAAAAATTCAGATGTTCAGAATATTCTTATAAATCTTAAAGACGAAACTGCAGCAGGATGTAATGGAGTATCGATTCAAATATTAAAACATGTAAATAATGATATAATAGGTTCTTTAACACATATATATAATCTAAGTATCAAAAAAAGTATATTTCCAGAAGAATTCAAGTTAGCAATAATTAAACCTATATTTAAAAAAGGCGACAAATCGTGTTTAAATAATTACAGACCAATTTCTATGCTAAGTAATTTTTCTAAAATATTTGAGAAAATCATCAAAAATAGGCTTATACAATATTTAGAAAAATTTTAACTTTTATCTAAAAATCAATTTGGATTTAGACCAGGTCTAGGGACAGAAAATGCTCTATATAGCGCAAAACGTTTTATAAATTATGTTCTGGACAATAATAAAAAAGCTCTGGCGATTTTCGTAATTTGGCCAAAGCATTTGATATGGTGGATCATTTAACACTTTTAAAAAATTTGGTATTGTATCATCAAGCTTAGACTGGTTTCGGAGTTACTTGCAAAATAGAAGGCAAATGGTTAGAATAAATGGTATTACCGGAGATAAAATGTATATAAACTGTGGTGTTCCTCAAGGTAGTGTTTTGGGCCCAATTCTATTTATCCTATATATTAACAGTATTTGTAGTCTAGATATTGAGGGACTTATCGCCACATATGCCGATGACACGTGCCTCCTCTTCTCAGGAGACTCCTGGAATGAAGTGCGTTCAAAAGCAACAAAAGAATTTAAAAAAGTAGTAGAGTTCATAAATTATAGAAAGCTATCAATAAATTATAATAAAACAATGTTTGTGAATTTCACGGTAAATAACAAAGAAGAACATTTTGATAATTTAAAGATACACTTTTGTGACAGCCATAATTTGTGCAATGATAAGCTTTGTAAAATCATATATAGAGTCTCAAGTATACGTTATTTGGGTTTAACAATTGATAAACACAAGAGGTGGAATCTGCATGTATTAATAATAATAATTTAATAATTTATTAATGCGTCTTCGTATTTTGAGTCATAGTTTTTATAAATTACGCGAGATTTTACCAATGCATGTAATTCGTACAATTTATTTAACCCTATACCAAGCAATAATACAATATGGACTACTAATTTGGGGAGGTCTCTCAGCTAATGCACTGAAACCATTGTTAATACCTAAAAGACAAATAGTTAGTATATGTTTACATAAACCCACTCTCGAAGGTTCAACTTTTATTAATTTCAAATTATTTAATGTATTACCAGTAGACCTACTATTCAAAAAAAACTGCTATATTATGGGTAGTAAATAACTCAAATAACTGGTTAAATCTAAATAAAAGAGAAACAGTAGCTTATGATGCAAAAGTTAGTTATTTTAAAAAATCATTTGGTCAAAAATTAGTGGACTACCTTGGTCCAACCTATTTTAATTCTATGTCTATAACTACAAAAAAAACATTGTCTGTAAAATTTTTAATGTCAAAACATTAGTTATAAAATGGTTGTTTATGTCTCTAGATCAATAATTACTTATATCTGTAAATGAAAACTCTGTTATCTGTTTTCTTTTTTTGTTTTTTTTTCTCTTAAAAACCTAATCTATAAGAAATAATTTACTGTGTTGTATTGTTCATAATAAGTATGTAATTACCTAAAATCAAATTGTAAATTTACATATCATATAAAAATAGTTTATACCTTCAACACAAGCTATGCTTACCGAAGATATATAATTTTTTTATTCAATTGTATGTATAATATAATAAAAATTTAAAAAAAAAAAACATAATTTAAGATATAAAAATGATGAGACATTCAAACATGGTTCCTTATTAAGCTGAGTGGGTTGGTATGCCACAAAAAAAGATGAAAGGGTTTAGCTGCAGAAAAAATGTCCAAAGTATTTTTTAAATTATTATCGTAATTATTAAGTACAGGTGATTAATTTAAAGCAAGACATTAATTAATGTTTTATGTTAAATGAATCACACTATATAGCCCTACAGAAAAACTAGCTACAATACATTTTGAGTCTTAACCTCTACTTTTTTAGACTTTTTCACTCTAAAGATGGATAAATAATCCAATAAATGCAGTTGAAAAATTTTTTAATTCGTACAGCGCAAACCAAAGTATACTTAATAATTTTAACGGAGAAATATGATTAAAGAGAGGGTATCATTACAATTGTATTACTCTTGTCTTTTATTACAGTAGACCCAAATTTAGTTAAATGTTATTTAAATATTTAATAAATATTATAAAATGGTTAGGTTAGGTTAGGTTAAATTACATTAAAATATATATATGTAACTGAAGTTGAAATATTGACAGTATTGATGACTAGTTTTTAAACTTAACTTCAAAGGCTTAGGGGCTATTAGAATTTGACAGTGATTCCTGTTTGGAATGTTTTGGTCATCTTTCATATACACTAACAAATTAATGGACACTGCCCACTGAACAATTAAAATAGATAGAGTGTACTTAGTTTTAATTAACCATTCATCTGGTTCCATTAATTTCTATTCTCTATATTATCAAAGATACATTTAAAATTGATGTCACAATTATTAAATAGTTTTATTTAGTTATATTATCATAATTTATAAATAATACAAAATCATTACATACTTTTTCTAAGACTCCTCGGGCCAATTTTTTTTGTCCTTTTAGAAGCATATAGTTTACAAATTTTCTGAAAAAAAAATGACACAATTAAAAAAAGTATTGATAAATAAACATTTTTGGTACAATTTTTTGAGCAACTTTAATAGAGTAAGTAATTGGATAAGTTAAATAAAATAACTCAAAATAAATTTATATTTATTATGAAGATAATATAGCATTAATAATTATTATTGTTCACTAATAATTTCAATTTTTAAAATTAATACACTTTTTCATGATTTTTTGTACCTGCATGGGTTTTAATTGATTTGACAACAGTTTTTAACTTTGATTCAAATTTTATTTTATATTCTGACTATTGCAGGGCAGTGCTCAAGCACTAAAATTATTGAAACACAATTATAGAAGTGTAAGTAGTCTTAGGTAAATTTGTACCTTGACTTTTTTGTATGCAAGAAACTATAGAATGAATATAGAGCTATATAGAGTTCCTTGTCTTTTATATACTACAATTATCACTTAATACTCACGTAACTGTAGGATCATGAAATATAGAACAAGTTTCGTTACTTCTAGCAGCTTTAAATGGAATCAGTTTGTAATTCTCAATCTCTCCAGATTCATAAAGTTTATCTAATTCTTGTTTTTTGTAGACTGGTTCAGCAAAATGAGGTGGATATACACTATATTTAGCAGTTGTTAATTGTGGAAATACTTTAAACCTTAAAAAAAAAAAAACAATGGTAATTAGGCAGGAAAAAAATTGTAAATATTAATAAAATATTGTATCTGGTCTGTTATTGGCCCACCACAATATAAAATAAAACATAACATGCTTTGGTTCACACAACAAATTCAATTGTAATTTTTCGGCATCAAATAGCTTATGTTGGAATATCAAGTTCATGTTTTAAGTAGATTAAATATTATATTTATTGTGTAATCTCCAACATCAAATTTAAGTAAATAAAATTCATACTAAATAGATCATGTTTATCAAAGATGATAATATATATATAACATGTTAAAATTTAATAATATAGATTGAACATCATGAATGATGTACAAAAATATATTTTATACATCTAATAAATTCTAACCTAATACTGATGTTTCATAAGTATCAAAATTAAATACGCCTAAGCACAACCAGTGAACGTGAAAAGTCATTATATGTATTATGTAGTTTTATTCTAAGGATTATCTAATATTATTCACAGTAAGATGTTGTCATGTTGATATTCTAAGGAAAAGGTAGTGGAGATAGCTTTATGACAATAAGAGATGGAATTATGAGAATGTTGGAATTCAAAAGACAATTAAAAGACTTGTAAAAGTATGGTTTCCCAGCAGAGTCATGAAGCGGCAACTAGCGTCAACTGCTGATTCAGAACACGGCATCAAGACGGGTAGTGACGCAGCCATGCTATTTCACAGCACACCACATCTAGCCACTGCAGAGAAACCGTAACTATTAACGGAAATCGAATGTACTATGATACAAGTCGTAATGAGCGTATTGAATGTACCCAATGTGAAACGAGCAAATACATTTCACTCACAGCTCCAGTCAACAGACACGACGGTCGAGAATAATATTATGATATGTAACAACGGTACCAAAACGAGTCGATTATTTCATATAATATTGTTGAATCAAAAACGAACACTTACCCGTGCTTCACAGTACTGCCGATCCTCAAGTATTTAGCGAACAACGCCATGGTGAATATTTTGTACGCGGCACCAAGAACTTTAAGGATTTGAAGAATTCCGGAGCTGCAAGGAATATTAGCCAAAGCCGAATGCAAAATCGTCGGTACCGATAGTGTTATCGACCGCCGACGTTATCAGTTATCACGACGATAATGTGAACGGCACATGTGGGTGCTTTTTGTCCGCTAGATGGGGCTGTCCGGGTTAAAATATTCCCGTGGCCGTCGACCGTATGAATATATTATTTTTCTGTAGGAAACGACGACGAAACGCTAACATCAGACACGTAAATTCAATCTGACTTCTTAATTATTGCTTATGACTAGGGCTGTGATTTTGTAGTTTGAAAGTGAATTTTTTTTTGATGATTGTGAAACTTAGCTTTGTAAGTACTTAGTACGTAATTTTAATTATGACTGTCATTACGAATTCATTTTAGCAACTTTTATTTTGCATTTTTTTTTGGATTTTTTGACATTTTTAATATTTTAAGTCATTTTTAGGTCATATTTTCCTAGTTCATTTTCCAGTATTTTTAATCAAATTCCGCCAATTGACTGTAAAATGTTTGAAAAAAAATTTGTTTTTGTACACAGGCAGTATATACTTCGATAAAATAAGGCGATGGCTAGATAACTACATAAGTTTTTTGTAAGTTATTTATTTTAATAGTTTTTAAAAAAATGTTTCAAGTGAATAGCATTAAGTATAGACAATCCAAATTCAATCAACATTTTTATTATTATTTTTCTTATTAAATAAACACTTTTTTATGCATGTCATGTACTAATGTATAATATCCTGTACCTAATATTAATATAAATATACAAATTAAATAAAAAACCATTTTAAATTAATTTTATACTATAATTTTTTGCATTTCAAGTGCATATTTTATTGCATTTTTTGACATTTTTAATGCATTTTTAAGGTTCTTTATATTGCATCAAATTCACAGCCCTACGTATTATACTTATTAGGTATGTTTATCCATTATTAACGATTTAGTAAAGCTCACTCTGCGAGTGTGCTAAATTCCTTGTTTTTAAACGTATTCGATGTAGCGCAATACACTATAATTACATAATATTAAACAATTTAAAAATAATTATTTGGTAACTTTTATATTGTATCAATGAGGTCCATAGTGGTACCTATGTTTTTTTAAATATTGGTTATTATGAGTCTATATTAAATACTCATGTTTTAATACTGTAGATATTTCGATTTCCGAGTGAGACGAAAAATGTATTGATTTTACAATGATGTGTGTTTTTTAATTTTTTTTTTGTGTCTGTAATCACGTTTTGGGATGGTAAAAGTTCTTCGATTGTCGTCAGCAGCATCTTTTCTGGTAGGAAAGTAATCTGGTTGGTAACTTTTTGACTGTCAGACCGTCTTCGCTCAGAATCGTTTTTCGTCAACAATAATTCTATATCATTAAATTCAAATTTAACCCTATTCATTACAGTGTCCCACTTGTAACCTATTAATTATTATACAGCAGAGAGAAATCCACTTACCCGCTTTTTTAATTTTTATTTCTGCCTGTAAACGTTTTTTTTTCTGATAAAAAAAATGAATCTAGTTGGTACTTCACAATGGGTAGGTACTTAATTAACAAACAATATATTAAACTACTCAAGTTTAAGTATGATGTGCAAAAAAATATTAACTTAACTCAGTTAAAAATAAGTTAAATTGTTTGTTAATTTCTTTTAATTATAGGTATCACTTGGCCATCAACTTTTCATTGTTATTGCACACTATACGTAGTACCGTAACACTCTGTTACATTTTTACTTTTCTGTCAACTTAATTAGAAAATAAATCAAGAAATTTATATTTATTAATGTTATAAATCATTTTTACAGTACCTATAATAAAAAAAAACAATAATTGATTAACTAATATTATGTTACCTATAGATATATAAAAACATTTTTTTTCCAATGTAAGGTATTAAAATGAATACTTGGACTAGAACAGTTAATTTAAAAATGAACAAACTAATTAAGAAGTTTGAAAACAAAAAAAAAAATTAACTTTATAACACGTGAACCATGAACCGGTTTCAATCTTTGAAAATCATTAAGAACATTATCACCTACAAACCTATATTACGTATTTGCCGTTAAAATGACTACATAAAGTGACAATGGGTTAGTAACTAAAGACAAACGACAACAGTCACGACTTTTAAATAAGTAGCTACTAACGCTTTAAAAAGTACGTACTCATATCTACCAGCTAAGTTTTTATTTGTCAATTTAAAGTTTGTACAAATATGTACCAAGCTAGAATTGGACAAATAATATGGACCTGCGGAATTTCATTTGTGTATTTAATATAATAAAAATGAGGTAATCAAACAAATGTGTATATTAAATACGGAATATATTACATACAGTATTTGAACAATAAATTATAGTTATTATAGATATAGGTATCTAGTCAGTTTGAGAATATTTTTCCAATAGTCCTGAGTCGATTAAATGTTCCTGGAACCTTGTGTTGTTCCAAGCAATAACTTCGGTTTCATTATGCCTTCTTTCAATCTCAAACGGTGAATCAGTGACTTTCAACACTTCTAAGTATACATGTTGTAATCGTTGATTTGATATTACAATATGTTCTGTTATATAAATTAAAAAAAATAAATGTAGACATTTTCATTTTTACTATAAATTTGTTTTATTTATGAAACACAGGAAAACATTTTTAAATTTGCAACGTTTACTGACAATAAGAATATGCACTTTAGCATTAGGGTAGTGGGTACCTATTTAAATATAATGTTCAATATGATGTTAGATTTTTTTGTGCATGTGTAGGTACACAATAGTCGAATTAATGTTTTGATTTTCAATATTAGTTTTTTTTTATGTGAAAATTCATCTAGTATGTATTTTAGAGAAGTTTCAATGGAAAATTTCCAGAATTTTTCAAAAGCGTAGGGAAAACATATTAAGGTAAAACAAGTTTTTGACAAAATCGATTTAGTTTACTTGGTTTGATTAAAAAACTAATAAATGTAATAAGTTATTACACTAGTAAATTCACAGCCTTGATAATAACCGTCTAGACATTTTAAATGTTCACCGGCTCAATTGTTACTACCATTTTTATACACCGCCAAATTTTCAAAATATTTTGATTCTTTTTGTGCTATTTATAGACCTAAGAACATTTTAGTTTTTATTTAACTATTGTCGAAAAAAAAGTTTCGCTCGGTCAAAATAATTGAAAATTTAGTAGAAGATTCTTCGTAAGTCTTTGTTACTTGAAATTTTGACCAAATATTAATTTTTTTACCTACTATAGACGATAAATACATTTATACTTAGTTGTTATAATAACAATTTAAAATCATTTAAAATACATCATTAGCCCATTTTTTTTTATAAGCCTATAAAGTTCAAAATTTTTAACAGAATCTCCACATTTTGGAAATTATTTTGTAGTTTTAAACTTATAAAATGTTTAGTTTTTATCTCTAAATATTGAACATTAAAAACAAGGTATTTCTTAAAAATATAAATACAATAAATAATAGTATCTACATGAGTACCTTTTTCTCCAACCGGAGTCCCAAAACTCTTAATTTTAATTTTTTTAGCTGCTAGCACCTTTAATTACTAATATTTTTACTAATTACAAATTGTTATCTATTTTCATAAGTTAAAACAAAATGTAATTGTCAACAATGAGTTTAGATGGCGTATTTCAGTAAAATTGTATATAATAAAAAAATATAAAAAACATGAGTACTTAAACTATTTTTATTAACTGTCGGATTATATTGATTTTTTATCTAAAGAATTTACTATATAATATGCTAAGCATTTTCACAACTGTTTGGAAATATAAATTAAAATTAAAAGAGTTACCTGACTGTTCAGTATTTGTTTCATCTGTTTGTGTAGCATTATCTATTTTTATACATATTTTAGGTTTTCCAATCCTAAATGCTAAGTGGTTTAAACTGTCATGAGTCATTTTTTCTCCTCCATACGTAATTGCGTTCAGTTCATTATTCCTCAATAAATAGCTGATATCAGGTACCCATCGATCAGTGGGTTCAAATGATCCATAAAAATTCTGTTAAATGAATATGTTAATTTTTTTTATTTATCTAAATTATGTACCAACATGGTATGATACTATGATAAAGAACATGGACTGATTTCCCTCAGAGACAATTGGTTTTCGGGACATACATTATGCATAAGATGTCATAGGTAAGCAGAATAACTAGCTACCGAGCTTAAAGTTTTTAAAATGTTTTTAGGTACTTAAGTGTATAATAATAATATGCATTGATATTACATTGGTGTGTGATTTTTTTTGTTCCTGTGTATACGACAAGAAGTCAAATTAAATCTGGTTTAAAAGAAAATCTAGTTGGTGCATAAGTGCATTTCAGAGATTAAAGTTGATTTTTAGTAGTTTTAAAAAACGCCGGAAAAAGAAGAATTCTTAAGCATAATTAGGTTTTGAGAAAAATCAATTTTGGTTTTTACTTTTTTTAGTGTAACTCTACAAAAAAAAATATAACTCAATATACATGGATTTTTAAAATATGTTTATATTAAAATTGTCTATAGCTATGCTACACAATTTAAAAAATATTTTGCAATTAGAAAACAATTAAGGCATAAAATAATTTCAATTTTTATTTATTTTCATATTCTGAGAGTAGCAATGAAAGTATTGGTTTTACAATGATGTATATTTTTTTATGTCTTTCATCAACATTTAAGGTATTAACAATTCTTAAATATTCAAGTGAATTTAGTTAGTACATTCGGAAAGTTATATATAAATGGAATATAAAATATTCATAAATTAGTTAATATTAATCACGGTCATTTTGAAACCATTATAGCCCCCTTTTCAAACCTAAATTATCATGAGTCTATTTTCTTTTAGAATATTTAAACTCTAAAATTTAAATCGTTCTAACTTACACTGGGATAGGTAGAAAGGTACAACACAATGTTCAAAAAGTCATCTACTTAACAAAATGCAATAATTAAAATGAATCCTCAAGTATCCTCAATACCTTCTCGACAACTACCGTGCTGCAGAGTGTTACCCATTTGATGAACTTTAAAAAAAACATTATTGTGGATACCAACAATGTTGTTAGGTTAAAAAACTTAAAAATGTAATACAAAGTTACTCATAAGTTGTTATAATTGGAGTTAAAAAATATTATTGCATAAACATCAATGGTTAATTCTTATAAGTACCTAGGCATTTAAAATTCAAATTTTGACCAAATTTATCAAAATCTTTACAATTTTTATGGATAAGGTTTGAACATGTAAAACAATGTTTCTCATAAGTAATTCATACTGCATGTAACCAAAAAATCAAAAAAATATTTAATCATAGTTTTTTTGGATGCAAAGATCCAATTAGGATGAAATGAGATATTTAAATTTTAATCGAAGAATAACGGTTTAAGCTATTTTGTTGTAGTTTCAAAATATTATACATAGGTACTACATATTTTTCAATTGTATTTTTTTTGGAAAAAAATTATTCAACCTGTATTATACTGTACATATTAGGTACTAATGTCTAAAAGTAATTTGAATTTCATAAATTGTACATCATAAAATAATAAATATACTTAGTAATATAGGCTGCGCTATTAGTCTACGCTAAGAATACAATGATTTTATATCGTTGAATTAAAGTTATTACATTCATTACAGTGGCCCTTCTAGACACTCATTTTACAACAAAGCACTTACACACCTTTTTAAATTAATAGTTGTATGTTTAACATATTTTATAATATTTATTACCTTTTTTTTTGCGAATTCAATAGTTGTATATACACCTACGGTCATCATAATCAGTAGAGTAATCATTGCCGCTGTCCATGCTATTATAAGCATTGTGTGTGGATAGTTTACATATTGAAAACTCGGCGAGATCCATGAGAAACTACTTGCGAGCATTATATTCTTTGTAGCATATTAAATCAAAAAGAAAAAGAAAACGTTTGAAATTTTTTCAACCTTTTTGTAGTTATATAAGCAATACTATAAGCAAGACAACAATAGTTATTAGGCATTGATTTAAATATGCGTAGGTAATTAAACCTTAACCACGTAATATTATTTTAAAATCGTCTTAAGATTCATCTTACCATCGTAACAACTGAGCTTCCGATAAACAGTAACTTCAGTATGATAGAAGGTGGTTTTTTCGACATGAACGCTAGATCGACGCAAAATTCGCTTACACCATAAATGCCAAATATCAATATAGATTCGAAAGTTGTAATCATGAGTATTCCCATGGCGGATCCAATATCGTCCAATATTGCTATAATCATTTCACCGCTCTATGATAGGTGTATGTAAGAATAATAAGTTTACGCGACAACAACAACAATAATGTAAATAATAATAATAATATATTTTTACCAAACAAAATGTAAACAATGCACAAGACAAGTAGGTACGTGCATAATTACAGATAGGTCTCAATGCATCGTTATAATTTTATGTTTAGTGATATAATATAGGTTATATCATTTACCCATAAAGGAATCATATTGTCATTCTAGTACATTATTACTTATAGTACCTAAATATTTTCAGTAGAGATACCAGGAACGTGCATATTTTAATTATTAAAACTTAAACAGTCATAACACTTTTACACGAGTATTATGTAAATCAGTTTTTTTTGAAAATGTGATAGTGTGGCAGCCAATTAATTAATTTCATTCAATCGGATCGCCAGAACAAAAATGATTAAAAAATCGTATAGTAGGTAGCATAAATTCGAGTGTAAAATATAAATTTAAATTGGTGTACAGGTTAATTTACCAAGGATGTTTACAGCCATTTTTGGTTTAATAATGAATATATTCGAATAATTACTCCATTAATGTTGTATGACTTTATTTAAAATACTTGGATTTTTTTTATAATATTTGAGAGTGTGGTGATATCAACGTCTCTTTTCAATTGAGGATCAATCTACCTATCCCAGTCGAAGTTAGAACAATAAAAGTTTTAAGAGTGTATATATTCTACCAAGAATAATAGACACGCTATAGTAAAGGTTTGAAAGGGAGTCCTTAATAATGGTTTTAAAATTATATCGATCGATATTAGCTAATTTCATATCTTGTGAAGTTTTATAAGTATATGATAGAAGTACTAAATCAAGTATTACATTTATATTTTTTTTATTTTTTGGCTTATCACAAGCCATTTAAGCCCCTTGCCGCAACTACCACTTCTTTCCATCGTTCTCAGTCATCTCTTCTAGATTCTCTACTCCTATCAAACTCAAATCCTGCCTTGCATGATCAACCCATCGTTGTCCCGGTCGTCCCAAGGGTCTCTTCTTATCCAGTACCAATGAAGTTATTTTATTTAATCATTTTACTATCTGCAAGCCTGACATGTCCTACCCATCCAATTCTTTTGCTCTTCATTATTCCTATAACTGTCTGTCTATAAGCCACATCCCTCGTATAGTTTTGTAATACATTTCAATATATCAGAAACTTCTCATTTGTATTTTTGTCAAAATTTTTAAAAAAATCATCTTAACAATTACAATAAGAATAGACCAGTGGTCAGCAACATTTTTGGACTTTGGAGCACCTTTAATAATGTAAAAAGTTTCGCAGGCGATGTCGGACATAAATAATTAAATCGTTTAGTCTTATTAAAAAAAAAATAATGGCCGTATGGAATAGTCACTTGTGCCTGATACGTTCCACCGTCCGCCGATTGCCGACCACTGAAAAAGATGGTTTTCATTTTAAAAAAGAAGTTTGTACAGGACACGACTTCTTATTTCTTAAATGGTAGAAAAATCATAGTATTAAAAATGGTTTTTAATCACTGTACATATTTTTATTTCGTTTAATGAATATGACGTGTAGTTTCTAAAAAAATAATATGACATATTATTCGATTCTGAGTACTGTTTACATTTAGAGATTAGGTGTTATATTTAGAGGTCAATGACGTAAATCAAGTATGCCAAACTCGAAGTATTAATTGTACCAATTATATTGAATAATTAACTAAGCGAGCCACACGTAAAAATGTATCAAAAAAAACATTTTATACAACATTTTATATTTATATAATACTTTCAATACTATACGATACGTATTCAATTACAATTTACATTTATCAGAAAAAAAAAACAGAAAAGTAACATAATTATGCCTCTCACAAACATAGTTGTGACACACAAAATACAAATTGCATAATTTTTTTTTTTACAATTTATTGTAGGTACATTAATATTATTTACGGGCCATAAAAAATGAAACGAGGCCGCGTGTTTGTCACGCCTAGTCATTGGTCATAAATGATAATTATTATACTATCCAACATTGATTTTGATCCTCTCATGTATAGCATTTTGTTATAAATGCATTACAAATTTAAAAGGTATAGTTATTAGTTATTAGTTATTAGTTATTTGAATTACCTCCACCGACCGCCCTCACCATATTTCATATACATTTTTTTCTAATAAACTGTTTATGTAATAAAATAATTATTAATATATAATATAATAATATAATAATTACCTTAGTCACTGTTACTAACGACAGTACAAACATCGTGCCACACAATATAAGAGCTCGACGGTGGGGTTCTTCTTGGCTGTGATTTGGAAAATAAGCGTTCCACAAATAAATCACAGGTCTTAAGAAGGACAACTGAGGAAAAACATGGAAATAGTTAGTAGAAAATTATACACTTAAATAAAGAGAAAGCGTACGTTATTGGGAATTTTAAAGGAATTAAAACGTTCGTTGAATGTACAAATACAAAATATTAATATTGGGTAAATGTTGCAGATAGTAGTTAAATAATTATAGTAAATGCTATAGGTAGACTAATCACACTTACTAAAACTTTATAGCTTTTGCCTCGTAAAAACACTTTTGTTTAAAAAATTTTTTTTTTCATAATAATATAATCGTACGAATATTTTAAAATTTATTTAATTATATTATTTTTAATTAAAACCGTAAACACTAAATACACTATATGGGCTGAATTTCTAAATACAATCAATAACAATAAATAGAGTTTTAAGTTTGACATTTTGGTTATTTTTTTTTTATAATGTTGGCCTCAATGGCATAATACATTTTAAATTTGAATATAACATATATATTTATGTACTAATACGTTTTATTATTAGGAGATATGTTTGTACTATATAATGTTATAAATTAGTATTAATATGAACTATGAAGGTGTTACCGTATAGCAGTGGTTCTCAACCGGTATGAAAAAAAAATGTTTTTTTATATTGTACGTGTTCAAAGTATAAAATATGTATGAAATTAACATCGAGTTATGACATGGAGGTAAAAACTACAGATAAGAAAAGCAACTATGAAAAAAGTATCATTTTCAATTTACATATACGTTTATAATTGTCACTCTTTCAAAAATCCGTTTACTATTTTAAGTGTGTCACCATTTTGGTGTCTACATAAAAAAAGTTTGAAAAGCACTGCTTTACAATTTAACAATCATGTGCCCTTATGTAAAGAAGTTTCACTTCAATAATAATGAAAGTTCTTCGACTGTAATAATCTGTAGGCACCTATATCGGCTATTTACGAACACATATTCCGGAGCAATGCATGATATTAAAGTGCAGTAAAGCGTTTGATACGCTGAGCCAACTAATACTAACCTGAGTAAGTATGCAGACGACGAACAAAATGAAAAACGACACGAAACTCAAAAACCTCGAAAAGGGTAGATCGGCGAGGACACGTGAGATAGCGATGAAAAACATACCAGGACCTGTAATATATAACGTAGTTATAGAATTATTTATATTATAATATTGTATTCCTTCAACAGCCTACGTCAATGACTAAAAGAAGCTAAAAGTGAAAAGTTGTAAGTCATGAATGTAACATTGTACACAAAAATAGTTGTTTTGAATTTTTTACGATTTCTGTTTTTGTTATCTCAACTAATTTTATTATAAACCATTTAACCATACCTTAGATTTAGATACCTTTGGAGTTTCTTTTTTTGGTCATTGACATTTGACTTCAAAGGTTTAGATACACATATTAAAAGTCGCTGCAACCTGTTGTTTGTTATTGTATTTTTATTTAAATATTAATACATAAAACTGTAATTGTTAATAAAAATGTCTATAATGTTTCATTAAACAATAAATATAATATTGGCAATTGTAATTTGCAGACTAATATAATAACAACATGTCCGGCCTTACATCAAATGTATTTTGTAGTATTGTCATTAGATAATAGAACAATATAATAATATTAAATTTCTCAAACATATGAAATCCAAAATAGGTCGATTTATTTTTGATAAATATCACAAGTTTAGGATTTTGTATAAGTGTTTGAATTATATTTATGCCTAGATAAATATTTTTTTAAATTCCATCTTATTTTCGATAACATGACGTTATATTGGGTTATTGAAAGTTTAGCCTTCTTTGATAGGGTATCATACATTTGATATGTAAACTAGATCCTGATTCAATTAGTTTAGTTTATTATTCATATTTTAGATTCTGATCAAGGAATGATGATCCTAACATTCTGCTGTGTGTTTTTTTTGTGTGTCCGACGTCAACTTTAGGATCACTAAAAAAGCTTCAATTCTAAACTTTGAGGATGGTCTTTGATAGAAAATTAGAACTAGTTGGAACTTTTAGGGTTGGTCAAAAAATTCTCATTACTTTTTCAAATGAACTATATTTATAATATTTTCAGAGCATTTAAAAATCCTCTAAAAGCATGGAAAAGGTACAATATATGTGTATCTAAAATAAATTATAAAATATTTACATAAATTGAAACTGATACACAATTGGTCTCTGTTTCAGAACCGATTTTCGTATGTAATGATTTACTATTGACACATGAACACATGTATTAGGTACTGATTGCTATTGTGGGGCTGAGTTTATACTAACAAAATGGTAGCCACTAGCAGACAGATTTTTATATTTGTACACAAAAAGTACACGCCTTCTATCTAGATACAAATATAGACAAAGAATCAATTCGAAAAAAAAGTAGGAAACAGAGTTTTTGCTTACTATGGACTCATATTATTTTGTGGAACGATTTATTCAAATGGACTTGTTACTCGATTTTAAAATAAATTGAACGGTGACCATTGATTTCTTAGACATTGGTAGAGGTAGGTTAAAATACTTAAGTATTAACGAACGAATCAAGCGGGCTTACCGGATTTAAACACCAAATTGAAATCGATGTGAAACTTAGTAGCTTCGATGTTGGCAGTAGCAAATACAACTATGGTGGCGGCCACGGCAATAACAATATCCAGAAAAGCTACCAGCAGCACTCCACCTAATATGTTGTTGCCAAAACTGCGATTTGCCCCGTAAATTATCAAATGTCCCGTGCCAACGTCCAACGAGTACAGCACTTGTTCCGCCGCTCTCCGCCATGACTGAATAATATGTAATAATGTATCACAATTACGAAAGAACTGATTTTTTTATAAAAATAATCAGACTGTCTTATAGAAATTATTTTTCATCGAACTTTTTAATGAAAGATTGAATAGGAGTTAAGCTACCTCGTGTGGGCTCGACCATTATATCTATGTAGCCATGTACAGCATTTATTGTACTACTTTTGTAGGAATTTAAAATTCCCCATTAAAATGGTATCGCCTATGCAGTCTATAAGAAAAAACCGTGTAGGTCTCGCTTTGCCTGACGATTTATTAATTAATAGTGGTGTGGTCAATATTAATTCAAAAGGCTTACATAGTACGAATGATTTTAATAATATTGAATTTAAAATAAAAATAAAATATGAATGTTCAATTTTAAATAATCAATACAAAATGATAAAATTATTATCAATGAGAGAAGTCACTTGTACAACGTACCTACCTATTTATTGAACTAAAATCTATAGTATTGTAGAGTGTGGCGTTTCCTTTTATTATACCTGTATTGGTGCCAGTGCTTTTTTAGTTGTTCATCTTATAAAGTATTTTAAATATTCAGTGAACAACATGAACCAATATAAATAATATTGAACTTAAATTTTTGCTTTCATGAAAAGTTAGAAATTTCATAGGAAAAACGGTGTTGTGCAAATACATAAATTGTAAAAGTTTTGTTTAACAATACAACAATTTATTTTATATTTTTTATGTATTAATAGTATACTCGTATATGATATATATTTTTAAATTAGTTAGAAAAAAAATGTATGGAAGGCAATTAAGAACTAATCTTTTCGTGGTATCTCCGAGGTAATGCTAGGAAGGCACTAAAATGTAAGACTGAGAAGAAATGTGTACCTAAATGTTGGTACCCGAACGTTTTATTGTTTTAAAAATATGATGTAACCAAGTGAGTGTTCTCAGCCGTTCTCGCAATTTGCAGGTAAAAATATAATTTATAAATAATAAAATATAACAACCCATATAACAACATGCACGTTATGTGGCAAGCGAGCCTGAATTAAGAGGGTGTGCAGAGGGGAATGAACTCTGGCCTAAAAGTTACAACGGATATCGTGCAATTGTGGGCTCCCGGTGAATAGTACGTACGTTTCCTATTATATGAATGAAGATTTGATAAATTATTATTATTTGGGCTCGGGCCCAAAATGATCTTAACCCGGGCTTAAGGGCAGGTCACACATAATACATTGGTTTGGGGGTAGGTACCTGAAGATTTAGCAAGTCGATCTTCCTCGTGTCAAACAGCAAATGAAAACCACACCATGCGTCATTTTTCGTAATTGTGAAGAGCAAAACGAACGCCAGCAAAGAAAACGGCGCAATTGAGCCGAATATCTGAACCTATAATAATACAAAATTTACTCTGGTGGGATTGTTTTTCAATAATATTATGTAGGTATACTTCAAAAGTATTGTATAATTGTATTATTATTATCGATGTTTGTAGTTCAAATTTATTGCGATCGAACATACAACGGAATTGTAGGTACCTAAGTATAACTCTACACATTTTTATGATAATTTATAATTTATATATTATTGTTACCCACTGTGTATAAATTCTAACGCGATTCTAAATTTGACAATATTTTAAGTCTTCGCATGGCCCTCTTATCTGAGAAATGAACATCGGTATACATAAATTCTTTAGTTTGTAATTATTTTATTTAAAATTGACGCGGCTACGGCGGTTTTCGATTGTCGCTGTGAACCGGTCACTGTCGGATTTGAGGTGATGGTAGGTGACTAGAAAGGAAACTCGAACAAAATATATAATGGTGGTAGATTTTGTTAGTTTTATTGTGGTAACGAATAGTTTCAAAAAAAATAATAAAAGACCACGTTGGCGGGGTGATGGCTTGCTTGGTATAATAGGTGGAAGGTACTTGTCCTGCGTGACTTATCTTTCCCCCCCCCCCTCCTGGTGCGTTTGCGGTGGGGAGGGAGGGTCGACAGTATCGCGTTGTCGTAACTCGTGGTGGAGGTTGGTAAAAGCGTAGACCGGTCGCTGCGGTGATTGTACTTCGAAAAATAGTAATTTACTCTGTTGGAAGATGGCTGTTAACAAGTGTATAGGTGAATCCCCTCGTGTTGATGGTTACTAACGAACTAATTGCTGTGTGTAATTTTTAGATCATATACAACGGATAGAGCCATGGCTTATAGAATACTTATAGTGGCATATTTATTTTTATTTTTTCATCTAAATATGCGACTTTAGTAGCTTGCTCAAATAAGGCTACATAACTGCAGGTAACTTGTCACTAACACGTACATCGAAATATTGAGCTGTGTCTCCGTCCACCGTGTATGATCTAAGGAGTCACTTTAATAATAATAATAATAATTTGGATAGGTCGAGAAGTACTGAGAGTGTATTCTTTGTATTGTTTAATCCCATATAGTGTGTGTTCAGTGTATAATCTATATATAATGTGTAAATGGTGTAAAGTGTAAAGAATGTTATAAGAAGTACAATGCAACAATACAGTTCTCTTCCAATTATAATTTAACAACAAATGTTTTATTCATATTCGACAATATTATAATCTGTATTGAATTACTCCAATAAAAATTACTCCATTATCATGCAGCCGTGTGTTAGGTTTAATTTTTTTAAATGCTTAATATTATGATTATAAAATATAAGTGCAAGAAAAATATGTCTCAAAAGCAAAGTCTATAATATTATGTACAATTTTAAACATGATGAAACCACTCCAAATTATTATAGTAAATATTATACGTAAATTCGCTTACGTATTTCATGAAGTCGTTGGATGCAATGAGTAATAGGTAGTTGATAGTCCACGAAATTACAAGACAATATACTAATGGCAAGTTGAAATTACCGATTCCATTGTAGAGATTGCCTCTGTCCATCTTTACAATTTCATTCCTTGTAAAAATAATACAGCAGTTAGCGATACAAAATCTTAAACATTGATACACAGTACACAAGTAGTCTAATACATAATAATTAGAATTTCGTACACACATAATTATTTTTTACGCGTTTAATAGTCGGACATATATTTTTTCTCCATCTTACATCAATAAGTAACTTAACACTGATTTTGATTACATTGTTGAAATTAAGGAATACCCGATGTACCTTATTAGTTATTACATTATACAATATTATAAACAATATTACTCTTAATGATTTAAGTTTTTGTTTTTAAATTTACTAAATGCTAATTATTATAGTATCTATTACTTAAACAGTTTTAAACGTGCATCAATAACAATAGTTAATTAAATATTAAGTATTATTATTAAAAATTAAAAATGTATTTACGACTACATCTTAAATGTCTTTCATATAATGTAAATTCGATTATATTATACAGGCATAACATTTGTAGAGGAGAACTTACTTTAAACTAATTTGCATAATTGGCATAGTTGATATAATTACTGTGGCAATAGGTCTATTATACATTAATTTAATGCAATTAAATTATCCATAAATGTATTATATATTTTATTATTTTAATATATTTTTGATTACGAGTTGAACAAAAATCTGAAGTCACACCACACTAATCGTATTGTATTGCACTATCAGGCTTATGTAATAATATTTTATACGACATAATATGATACTATTGCGACTCACAGATAGAAATTCTCGGCGGGCACGCTTAAATCGATGCCGACAGTCTTGCAGCATCCCAGTTTCCTGTCGTCTTGTAAGCACAACGTGTCGTTGGCGGAAATGCACTTCTTCCATGGTAGCTGATCGGATTTCGGCAGTGACCAATACATGTAAAATAGACATCTAGACTGTATGGGGCTATAACAGATAACGTTTAAAAAACAGATGTAACCCATGGCCACCGCTACGCCTGAATAAAACGAAACGGACAGAAACGTGAACACGATGAGATGGAAACAGCAGCGTATTGTTGCGAAGAGGTAACGATAAAACATAAAAAAAAAAAAAAACAATCGAGAAGAAAGAAAAATCGGACTAAGTCCGACTGCCGGACTTTCCGCACCTTTGCCGATGGGCACCATGTCGCCTATAGCTGTCGGACCTCTGCCAGAATACTGTCCCACGGCGATTTCCATGAAACACCAAGGGATGCCGATCAGCACGACCAGTATCAAGAATTTGACCAAAAACGAGCCTGCGGAGAATTCAATAAACATTATTATACACCAAAGATTATATTTATTTATTTTTTATTTTTATTCATTTATCAAGAATTTAATGGGCCCCACTGAACGTGTTCGTTTGGGGTTATTCTAATAATAACAATAATACAATTTTACGAATAGCAATTCGTTGTATAAAAATACTATTATCACCTATAATCTGTATCATCAATTAAATATCTAATAAACTGTATCTCAACAGGACTCTGTTGCGTTCTCAGCTTTTTTGAAAGGGGGATATGAATTTTGGACTATTCTCAGACCACGTTGTATACTCATTCATTGTTCTATTATATATTGAGTATGACAAAAATAAGCCAAAGGGACCCCGAGACTGATTTTACACAGAACTATGTCCATAATGGCTGTACCTACTATGCTTAATTATTATTTATTGGTAGGTAGAAGGTACCCATCAAGATTCATCATATTATTTTATTTCATGAATATCAATGCATCATTGCACCTTTGATGGTCAAAAGCTGAAAGTTACACATCAATGTCCAATTTTAACACAATGTTTAGTGTACGGTTGTATTTAGTTTAAGAAAATGATTTTTTTTTTTTTTAATAAAGCTATCAATATAAAATTATTACAGCTCAACGGTTACAAGTAAATTAAAAGAAAATGGTTATAGGTACATTTAGGTGTGATTCAATAAGGATATTGGTATTCCCCATGGCATATTTTCAATATTTATAATAATAATATGGTATACTATTTATATTTTTATAAAAAAAATAATGAGAATAATAATTTTTTTTTTTACTATCTGTTGAAATATGAATATCATTTTAGATATCTATATTATATCTATTCAGAATTTTTGATGTCAAATTGTTTTTTTACTATGAAGAAATGAAGATAAATCTATTATGGTAAATACTATTTTCAATAGTGTACCTACTTATAACGATTTGTATAAATAAAATGAGTATTGAATTAATAGTTAAAATTATATAGCACTTATATCGTAAAGTATAAGCTAGGTTTATTTTTTAGGGTTTTTCTAATTTATTTAATGGTTGAATCAAAAACGTCCATTTAAAATTGTATTATTTATAAATTCTGTAACTATCGCGTTATTCTAAAGTCGTCTCAATGGCTACAGATGTCGTTCATTTCGGGTGTGTAAAATATAAAACAACAAGTAAATAGTGATGTGTTAGATAAACTGACAAAAATAGATTTACTTATTTAGGTAGGTACTATATTGTTACTTATCAAATAACATTTTAGTGTATATTTTTAATATAAATATAAAATAATTTAATCTATAATTCTTAAATCATGTATTTAATAATCGAAGCTATCTATATTAAAAAATCAGCCTCACCCCTTAACATGACAAAATAATTTGACCATTAATATTTTGTACATAATATAATGTGTACCTAAGTTTATTTGTTACATTCGATTATTAGTGTCAGCCAAGGAATAATATGGGAGTGTGAATGAATTTTATATTCATAGCTTTCAAGACATCATTATTATGGTTTTACCTTTTAATATTTATACCGATTATTAATTTGTACAATTAGTAACTAGTTAAATGCCATTATTAGGTATCTATATTTTTCATGAGAAAATCATTGTTTATATTATTATATCATAGGTATAGGTTTAAAATTTAAAAAATCGAATTTTCAATGACCGTGAATTATTGTATTGACTATGATTCTAATTTTTTTACCCGAATGAAATTTAATCACTTCTATTTAGCTAATAAGTGCAATAATATCAAACAGTTCAACAATCTCTTTAATGTATAATATTGTTTTTATAATAATTACATTTTTTTACTATAAAATCATTGTAGTGTTTAATATACCTACATTTGAGTACCAACGTACTTCGTATACCTACATAGAGTGTATTAAGTGACGAAAAAGAATTCGTTACTTGAAAGTTGACAAAGTCATGTACACAAAATAGGCACATTCTAAAAGCAAAAATATCAGAAAAATAGGTACCTATCTATTTATTTGTAATAAAATAATGTTTATTAGAGACATTATAGTCTGTCATGCGCTGTCCCCTTGACCCTATTACACGTGTCAAATAAACTCGTCAAATTATGAATGTCTTACATCCATTGTTTGAGTATGCTAAGTACGGGAATCTTGTTAAGTTGGCGAGACTTCCAGTCAGACTGAAGCAGTAAAGTAAATAGTCCACATAGCCATCAACATTGCTGCGTAATTTCTCTTCTGGTAGCTAAGGAAGGAAATCAAATTAAATTTATTCTGTGAAAAATATTCTAATAATTATCTAATTTGTTACATTTTTAAAACAAAATATAAAATAAAAACAGAAATTTTTCTTATATTATTTTAAATAGATGATTTGAAAATATTTACGTCTGTAGTATTACGCAAATTGGATATTATTGCTTACGATAGCTCACAATAAATGGACAAGTTAATATTTTTTTACAAAATAGAAATGTGTAATATTTCCTTTTTATTGTTTTTTTATTTTTCTCGATATTTGTATTGTCACTTAAGTGCTAAGCACTTAGAGCACGTAATATAGTCGGTATTATTTTTTGTTGTGTTTAATGGTAAAGTTAGCCAAACCTATAGTAGTGTACCATCGGTTAAAATGGTTTGAAACTAGACACTTGCATATAGAAAAAATACTCTTAATCGAGTAGGTTAAATAACAAGAGATAAGTGATCTTTAACTGAACACAATATTAAAAAAGATTGAAATTGTTTTTAAGCGAATTAATTTGCATTAATATTGGGGATTTTAGCGTATGAATAAAAAACGCACCTGGATACATTGGTTTGGATCAAGAGATTAATAGAAAGTTAGTCTGTGCAACATGATAATAATTCTATAAAAAAACTTAACATATTAATAAATAAAATAAATAAATATTTTTTTTTGATAAACATCGACTCCATATAACTTTATTGATAAACAATATTATAATATACCATGATAATTTATTCACATATATTATTGAGCACGTTAAAAATGTATTTGATTTTTTTTTCTGAAGAAATTCTATTTTATTTTGATTTAAATTAATTTCTATATACCCACCGGTCGTGATTTCGAATTTCTGTAAAGTTTGAATTTCACAAATCCTCCCTTATCAAAGTCATTAATATTGTCTTGTAGTCGCCACATGTACAATCTAGGATGGTTAGGTAAATAGTTTTCATGATGAGCATCCATTATATTCTGAACAGTAACACTTCGAAGTAAATCAAAAAGTAAAATTGAGGAAAATAGTTATAACATATTATAAGAATATGTGCGTGTGGTGTTGTCAAAATATAAGAATAACATTAATTTAAAGAAGTTGTTTCTAAGGAAAATAAGCCATATGCTAGAGAAAAGTATTTTAATAATAATAATATAAAAGTTATTATTCCAATAACGAAAAGGATCTTAGATTTAAAAAGAAAATATTTATGAATTTCTAATTTAAGATAATTTGCAAATTTTCGTGAGTTTTACAATTTTTGTCAAAATTAGTAGGTATTGTGCAAAAATTACATTTCATGTATGCTTTAACATGATCTGATTGATTAACCAATGGCAACCAAAAAATTAAAAAATACTAATTTCAACTAAAAAATTAAGAAAATTAAGAGCGGAAAAATTAAAATAAACATTCAAATTGTATACCTATGCACATATTGTACGGCACGTCGGACCTTGGATTTACAGCTCCCTACAATTTGACCTTATTGTCCGTCAAATAATGTGTTTGACTTGCTCTTGTATATCTTTGACATGTAGCATTGCGAGTTCTGAGACTTAAGTTTATTTAAAATACTCAGCGTAATTGCTTTGAACTAACCTTGATGAACAAACGCTTATCAAAAAACTCACCGTAAATTTTTTCATACATTTTCCGATTGTATCGACCGTAAAATTGTACACTAAGGAGTGATAATAATTAACCATTTAAAATCAATATCATAGATTGATTTGTTTTAAACGATAAGTGATAAGTGACAAGCGCGATGCCGTGACCAAGGGAAATAGGGATTCATTTTTATACATATAGATAAACATGAATTAATTTCATAATTTTACTTCTCGGAAAAATTCATTCCACACACCAATCAAACACATAGTTAGACATTTAAACGGCCTAAAAGGTCAGGTTACACGTAGTCATGGGAACCCCGCGGGCAGTGCCGTCGTACAATGTGTATATCGATATAAAATTTACAAGTAAAAAATGTATACTTGCCGATTACAACCACTTAAGATCATAATTTTAAAATATCCTTTCTTAGTGCACGGTGAAATTATAATATTAAACTATCCTCAAAATGTCAAGTCGTTAACTCTTATAGGTTCAGCTCTGCGATGATTATGAATCAGAAAGACACTCTCGCCTTTATATATATGTTACGGGCAAAGTGGAAAATTCGGGCAATGTATACAATGCCAGGGCATTGAACACAGTGACCGGGCATTGTATACAATGTCCGAGGTATATTGGGCAATGTAAATTGTGAAGTATTTATACAAATAATCTGCATAATATATTTTGTTAGATGATAATGATAAACTAATATGAATTTATAATCGACATCTGATTGTGCTTGCATGTCGATCAAGTCAATTTGACAGCGAGAATTCATTTCAGAAGATATGATTGGTTTTACAACCAACCCTTTTTTAGCTGTACTTCCCTTCTTTTTACACGATTCGCAATTATTTAAGTATAACATTATTACATCTCTAGTTATATTTTTGTACTTTTTATTAATCTCAAGTACCATTCTATTTCTACCTCCATGTCCAATTGACAAATGAACTTCATGTATAATATCATATAACTGAACATTAGGTATGCACATAATATTTTATTGCATTACCTCCTTTAAATACATTTAAAATTTAATTAATTAAAAAACAATTCTAATACTCGTATATAAATAACCATATAAACGAGTATAATAATTATTAGTATATAATATATATAATATATATAATATATATATACCTAATATATATTAGGTTATATATAATATAACCTTGATTAGGTAAAATAATATTATGCAGATTATTTGTATAAATACTTCACAATTTACATTGCCCAATATACCTCGGACATTGTATACAATGCCCGGTCCCTTTGTACAATGCCCGGGCATTGCATACATTGCCCGAATTTTCCACTTTGCCCGTAACATATATATGGAGGATTGTGATTAGAATAATTTATTCTACTATTAGCCATTAATACCACAGTAGGTTAAATTAATTTCAGTCGAAAATATTGCATTTGAAAATGTCAGTGTGTGTATAAAATATAATAATATACTTACTATAAAAGTTTCAAGTACCCACGAATAATATTTTTAAATTACAACAAAATAACTAAAATCGTTATTCTTGGTTTAAGTATGTAATTCCGTCCAAACTAGAACTTAAAATACCTATACGAAAAACTGAGTTCATAAATTTTTTGAATTTAAAAAAAACACACATCATTGTAAAATCAATGCATTCATCACAGAATCTAAAACTGAAAACTAAATTTTGATCAATTAAATTCATCATTTAATGAAAATCATCATGAATTTGAAATAGGTACTTACAGTTATAATATAATATTGTTGAATGTTTAAACTTAAAGGAGTGAAGGACACACTATTTTAAAAACGATAACAGAGAAAAAAAATATTTACACGTATTTAAAGTTAAGTAGGTAATACAAAAATGATAGTATTACATTTCAAATCACCTGCATTATGCATGAAATGTTAAATAATTAAAATACTCAACAAAAGATTTTAGACAAATGCTGTGTGATAAAATGTGTGCACATTTCATTTTTGTCTATAACAATTTTAACACTGATTATAACTGTGAAAAATTACTTTATTTTTGCACTCCACACTGAAAATAACCTTACACTTTGCTGTAATATATACTACACTCTTATTTTAATCTCTAGTTGATATTTGCTGAGTGCATAAAATAATCTTAGTATTATTTTTGTTTTGAAATAATACAATTTATTGGGTCCAGGAACACTTGCACTAGCTGAAAAATATAAGGTAATGATGATAGACGCATGATAATTTATAAGCCAATGGATTCTTCGTTCATGGACCAATATACAACACATTTAATTTTTAACTTAAATATTTATTAAACCAAAAAATGCCATAAAACATACTGAAACACTACAATTTTGGACACAAGAGAAAAAGTTTATAACATTAAGACACAATCAAATAAAACAGTAGTATAGTTTATGAACCAATATAATTAAACTCTAAAAGTTTTCAAATAAATGCTTAAATTCAAGTTTTTAATGCTAAAATAAAATAATAATAGGTACCTATAGTAATATTAATAATTTTAATAATCATAATACTTTATCATAATAATATATTAAATCATTTTTAACAATATTAAACACGAATATAATAAAAAAATCTTATTTTTATTAAAATTGAGCAGCACTAAAAAATCGTATAAATACGTAAATAATTATTATCGGACGTATTAAGTTACATTAATCATATAACTATAGAAAAATAAGTTTACCCAATGATGTCTATTAAACACAAAATAGCGAAATATGGTTCAGGAAAGAACAAAAACATATAATATGGCAATAATAATATATTCTTTAAAATTGTAAGAGTTAATATAAAATATTGAAATTTTAATTTATAAAGACTATTAATATTATGTAGGTAAGTGCTTCGAAAAAATATAATTATTTTTAAATTCGAATCAATGTGGTTTATAGTATAGTAAGAAAAATAATACGGATAGAAGATTCAATGATTAGTTAGAAAAAAGAGGAAGACTATTATACACTTTCCTATGTTAATAAGTTAAATCATGAAAAAAAACTTTTTTTTTTAGATACAGTACCTATCTAACCGTTGCTCTAGGTCGTTTATCAACACGTGTTAGTTGTTAAATCAATGTTAAACCCCGGAATTGTCAATACTGTACGCGTTACAGTCGTTAGGATGTACATCGCGGTATGATACCAGATTGAGCACTATCGTTTTTTAGTGACCTTTTCGACAACCCGATTGGAGCACAAGTATTTATATTTATTATTTTAAGCAACGTTGCCAAATTGACTCTCTGTATATACATGCAAGGTGAATCTTTTTAGACTTTTAATTACAGAAGTGCATTGGAGAACGCGGTACACATTTTCACAAGCATACACTTCCATATTCACGGGAATAATAAACAATAAATATAGGAATTATATTATACAATTTTAAATGTTGTAAGTAATGTGGTAATTATAATGGTTTTATGAGAAATTCCGGCAAATACGATGATCAATATATCTATGGTCAATTGTATCATTAGATATTTTCAAATAAATTAGTTATACTGAAAAAAAGTTTTATTATAGGCACTAAATTAATTATTTATATTTGGCACTTTGGGCAGTAAATATTTAGAATTTAGAAGAAAATATTTAAATTGTCAACAATTTGCTACCTTAGAAAATTTGTATTACCAAATCAACATTTGGATTTTTAACTTTTTAAGTATTTTTACACTATTTTCATTATTAGATACAATTATTGTAAACTAGATATAGTTTTGATTTTTAATTTTAGTATGCAGTTTTCAAATTGGAAACTATTTAAATTGTTAAATGAAAAATGTAATTATAAATTCGCCAGAATTTCGTATAAAATATTAATTTATGGGTACTTATTTTTGTGCTCAATCGTGTTGTATTTTTTATGGGATCTGCATTCAATCGGGTTTTAAAGAAGGTGCACTTTTCTCAATAGGAATGTAACCCTTCCACCAGTAGACCAATCACGTAATCGATATTATTGTTATCATTTATAGCTTTTCGTCGTTGCACGTCAAACAATTGAATCCACAATTCCCAGGATGTTAATAGAAACAATTTCGTTATAAAAAACAAAAATAGACATTTTATCACCAGATAACGCAAATGTCGTATTATAAAATGTCACGCAGCGTTATATTTCACACGTACATCAACAATTTGGGCCGATTATTATTCATCTGGTTTCTTAACGGCACCTGCTATACAGTCTCGAGGATAAAATTCGGTGGCACTGAACAGTTTTTAGTGTGAAAGAGAAAATTTTTTACGGAATCACGACTGAAATATTGTAAGTATAATATTAATATAGTGGTTATGAACGGCATTCAATAGTTCGATTGTTGTGATTGAGTAGTTTCGATTACGTTCCGGTTAAAATAGTATTTATGCTAAAACTTATGCTCGAATTAGACTGTCGGTTTCTTGTCCGAGACTGAAAAAGTGACAATTCATTTCGATACAATTTTCTCTAACAATATTCATCAGCACATACAACGGTTCTATAAGACATTAATATTATTGTTTTGAATAAACAAACGAATCCAGCGTGTTGACCAAATTTGAAGAAAAATAGTGTTCATAAATGTTTAGGAAGAATTATGATTGCATCGTATCATAGTATTTTTAAATTTATTATCGTAGCGAACGCGCTAACAATTATTTAATAATATGATAAGTCATAAACGAAAAAAAGTACACAAGAAATACGCATACGATGTACTATAACACAATATACACAGAGAAATTATGAAGAGAAAAACTACATGTTGATCACTGTAAGTTGTAAACATCCGAGTAAAAACTTAAACACCCTTTGGATTTTGTTGTTGTTGCCGAGAGTGTAGGCAATATTTTGTATTTCCACAAAAGACGAACACAATATCGCTCTAAAACTTAATGGTTTTTAATATCTCAAAACGAAAGCCAAATCTGTACGTGCACCACGTGGTCCCCCTACCTCTATAATGTACCTCAATATGATAATTATCGTCATTGGGCGTTGGCTGACACGGAAAAATCCGTCCGTCGCTATGTACATACACTGCAGTTGGTTGTTGGACACCAAACAATAATAATATTACAATAATTCTATATAATGTGTACCGTTCCCGTACGCCTATTCGCTACGGTTTGATGTATTTTTGAGCCTGTATTTTCGTATACATGATAGTGATTGACAACATTATGGACAAATGTACGTACATTTGTGTAAGTAATACATAATATAATATCATAATATACAATAATAATAATAACAATAATCATCTATGCCCCCGGTGAAACGTCTATATTTTGTATCCGTCGCGAGTTCGTTAAATGTTCATAAAATATCAGTGTGTGTGTGTATAAAAATAACTACATAATAATATATAAATATTACAATATTATGATGACGTAAATGTCGAACAATTAAAATAAAATCGGGTTGATAATATTTGACAACACAATAATATTACAAACGGTAAGATAAAGTACATCGAATAAGGCGGTGTACGCAAACAGAATAATATTATGTGCATGTATAGTATTATAATATTATATGGGTACCGAAAATACGACTGCGGTATAACATTATATACCTAGGTATGCGTATTACGGGGGTCGAACCACACTGGTTCCAAAACGAACGACCGCGGACGTCTTTAACATAATGTACATTTTTAATAACTTTAATGTGCCTATTCAGTATGGTACCTATACACCAATACCTAAAATAATAGTAAATTGGTACGTGTTTGTTTCAGCTTAAACAAGTCTTAACACGTCGACGAGTCCCGTCACTCGCGTTGTCTTCACGACAACTGTCTGGAAGATATCTGTTATACCTACGTCGGTACTAAACAATCTAAACGCTGACATTAAGAAACTAACTACTACAGCTGATGTAGTCTAAGACTCTACGGTAAATCATATTTTACAATTACGCAATAACATTAAATTAGATAATAATAATAATAATATAATATGGTGGCTCAATGTCAGACATCAGTTGTGATTGAGTGTCGAGTATTGGGCCACTTTTGTCGGCGGATATTTCATATTGTGATTGCCGTTAGCTTCTCGCTTACGAGATCCAAAAGTGCGTTCGTTGATCTGAAACGTGTCATTAAAACAATAGGCGATTAAATAGAGTTGAAAGCGACATAAATTATAATGGCATGTAAAACGCGAAAAGCGCTGTAAAGTAATGCCAGAAGGTAATTATTTGAAATGGATCATGATGTCCCGGTGGACTTGCAAGTACCTAATTTTACTTCCAAGAATAATGATAAAAAAACAAAAATACGAGTATAAAATGCTGACGAGAATCGTGTTTTTTTTAAATTCAAAGTAAAAATTAAACCATCAAGTCTAACAAATACTATAGTTAATTTATCTACACCCAAAGTCCACCACGGACACCATGATGCTAGGTTGTATACATGTACCATGTAGGTTTATTACGAAACGCATTAGATAATTCGACTTACAGTGGCAGGAGGAGACGTACTGTAAATAAATAATTTAAACATTTAGTTCAATTGAACAATTATGCTGGTGGTAAGGAGTTAAATAAGTATTGTTTCCTTTACATCATAACAATATTGTGTTCATGGTAATTTAAGTAATTTAACACTTGACACAACTATTGTTATACAGCAGCAGTTTGAACGAACAAAAATTATTCAACACCTACCCATTCTTGGATTGTCTCATAAATTGTTGAATTTTTCGAGCTGCTTGATTTTGGCGTTTCTGATTTTGATTTTTTCTAAAATTAAAAGTGGAACAAAAAATGTTAACGAAATATTTAACATAATTAATATACAGCTAATTCGTTCTAAAAATTTGTTTAATTCAAATACAGCTTAAAGAAATAAAATTATTTTGTATGATGGTTACAATAGTAATTATGGAAGTATATGGGTCGGATGAGTATATGAATAATGAATATTACATAAATGTACTAATATCATATAATACATTGCATTATATTTTTGAAATTATTGAAGTATACACTCGTACTTACTTAATGACAGTGAACGTGTTATTGGTGTAACGAGGAGCTTCTTTCTTAAACCGTTTATGTCTTCTGTATGTACGATACTGATTTTGAATTAAAATCGCAGCTTTTGTCATCTGCTTGTAGTACGCATACTGGTGAGAAAAACATACGATTTAATTACTAAACAATTAATAAACCATTAATATTAGGTACAAAAATTAATCTAGTTTAACTTAAAAAATATCACACTTCTAGAAAGAGATTATATTTGAATTTAGTCTGTTTTTATCAATCAACTAACCTGTTTGTAGCGGCGATAATAATTTTGAATGACCGAAGCAGCTGAAATTTCTTTGTCTTCTTCTCTTTTTTTGTACGTCCTGTACGCCTTCTGAATAGTTTTGGCCGCCTCATATAACTCCCGTTGTTCGTAATCTATACGTATTGGATAATATTTTAGGAAAAATAGATTTTGTTTATTCGTTGAATTTTTAATCCTAAAACAACCCTTACCGGACAGTGTAAGATTAGAAAAATTCTTTTCGAAATATTGACTGTTTGATGAAGCATGGAGGAATTCGCATAGATCTGCAGCAGTCGGTGGCGGTGATGCTGGCGAACATTGTGATGCACTCGACACTGGACTTAAGGTTAAACTGGTGCTGGACGTGGGAGTTTCTATTTCTCGATCTTTTTGCCTGGATAACATAATTAAATTGAAACATGTTTTATTCATCAGACTAGGTGCACCTAATTACGGTAATTGTTTTATTGCTAATTTCCAGTTAGGTGTGCCTATAGTATGCTTATACATTATGTTGCAAAGTCGTTTAGCAAACGTGTATTTACTTGCAAATTGAAATAATATTGTATTATCATTTGCTAATTTTGGATATTTATAGTATTAGTTATTACAGTCAATCTCGGGGTGTATAGTTATTGGAAAGATTATTGCTAAAGCACTATATATCTATTAAAGTGTGTGTGTTGGAGTGTTTATCTGGTGTAAAAGTTGTTCGGATTTTATTTTTCAGTGGAATTTATAAACGCGATGCGATTTCAAATCCTATGCAGACTGTTGCGACACCTAGAATTATATCAACAGCACAAATCCTGATATTTTATATTTTTAATCAAAATACTGATTAAAACACCGATGAGACAAAGCCTCTTAATATTACACCTATGATGTTTTAAAGTGAGACGTGGGTACCAACAAAAGTACAAATCGTTGTAAAAGTGTAAGGGTACTTGGTAGACTAAACTAATACTCAATACTTAAGTTGGTTGATATAGATATCAGCGTTTTATTATGTAAGAAGAAGATTTATGTATTCAATGATACATTACCGATAATGATAAACAATATGTTCGTTGAATTCCGTGTTCATTTCAGAGTTGGTATCAAAACAGCACGACGACACAGATGATGGAGGATCGTCAAGCACTTCCATTGTAATTATTGATGATTCTACAATTTTACCGTATGATCCGTTTTCATTCTATTCGTTAACACAGTAATTAATTTAGGATATTATAATATTGTTGATAATGTGTATTCAGTTTAATTCGATTGATTGTCATATTCCAAATAAAGTACAGATATTAAAATGACTTTTAAAATATTTTATAATTCATTGTATTGTACCTATTAGATACATCATCTATGCACTTATAATACATATAAAATATTATTTCTGTCGTTTTTCTAAATTTTTAAAAAAATGACATAGTCTATTCACAAAACAATATATGAAAATATTATATTTGTGTTAAAGTTTTTATAATGCCTTGTAAGAATAATTGTATCAGGTACCTAAGTTAAATTAAAAACAACGGTGTTGTAAATATTGTCTTAAGTTTAAGTACTTACCTTAATATGATCGGGCATAGCCGCTATGAATTGTTCAGCTAATGTCAAAACACGAACATCGTGTTCCCCTGTAAAAAAAAAATAACAAAACAAACGATTCATTATATTTGAAATAATACGAAATAAAACAAAACGTATCGATGTTGTTGTGCTTTCGATGTAGGTATAATTCAATAGTATTATGTAGTTGATATGCTTACCTGGTCACTGAGACATTGTTATACTTACACGTACATCGTAGAATAATAATTAATCGCAATTAATATTTTTATTACAATACAAACAGTAATTATTATAGTCTACACACATACAACATGATAAATCATGACGACCTTCAGCGCTATATTAAAATAATATTATTATATCAACGAGAAATAAAATCGTATCAATATAGCCTAATATTATGGTGCATTCCAATAAAACGTTCTACCAAAAAAATCGAAAAATAATGCCTAGTGCCTAATGCCTACAAAGAACGGTGTAAAAATACTGCTGTGGAAGTTTGTTTCATACGCACATATGTTGTAATTATATTTCATTATGACGTTTTACACATTCATATAATATGATATTATTTACATGTTACAGGCAGATCATGCGATGCCCAGACTCGGTGATAGGTTACGCTCATTGATTTTAATTGGAGAAATCTACTAATGTTTTTATTTTTATTATCGATTCTGGTTAAAATTAAATGCAAATTAATTTATTTTAAATGCTTTAAAGTACCTATCAATGTGTCTATCGAAATAGTTGGGTTTATTTTACAAGTAATTCTACCCGTCACTGAGGTAAAATGTGGTAACTAAACCCAGAAGTTTATAATTTTTAGAACATATTATATTGTATTTCAACAATATGTCTAAAAAGCATCATATTTGGTGACATTTTAGTTTCAACCACTGAACGTTGTGGTCACAGAATGAAGGATCGAATCATACACGGCAAGTAACAAAATGTCGGATACAGTTAAGAATAAGGTATTATATAATGAGAATTATTTTAAGAGTTATTATGATTTTATGGAATTTTCAATTACGGTAAATCTGTGTTATAAGTAGTTATAACACACTTAATACTTATCTTAAAAACAGTTCTTCGTAAATCTGATAACAGATTCCGGATAATGTCCTAAGATTTCATTCAACACCGTGACTAGTCACAAAGATTTGTTCGACATGCAAAGGATCATAAATAGGGATTACAATTATCATGGATTTTAGCCTTAAGGTTCCTCTATCCCTCGCTCTTATCGTTGTCGAAGTTATACTTATCAACGACGAGGTTTTTTTGTACCGATAGCTGCATTAAATTTATATTATTATTCTTATTTACTTCCATTTTAAATGACCTAACCACCCCCAACTCTGATCTATGTTTGATGACAATGTGAATTTCAATATTTTTAAAAAATCTTTTTTAAGTGTTCCGTATAAACAAGTCATTATTTATTTTATTTTCCATAATATACACATCGTTATACTATAATTCTATAATTCAACAAAAATTTACAATAGATCGCACTACCTAATCCGGAGTTTCTTAACTGGTGGTCCGGACGCTAGGAGTCTGAAGGGGCTACTCGAAGGTCCACAGGTTTTGGGATTTTTTTGAATCACCTAAAAACAGTTTTTTGAAATAGTTCATACTATTCGATGACTCACCACTACTTAGTTTTAATTGTTGTGATTACAATTTAATTTCATATAATTTTTTATTAATTATTATATCCTTTTTTTCTTTTACTTATTCCTAATAAGTAGGCAATAAATATTTTTTCTTTTAGATATTACAAATTTACCTATATTCAGTAACAGAAACTTGGATACGCATATTATTATCCTTTTATTGTGGATTTCAACACTATTGTTGGTTATATAGGTATTATAAGTATTGATTTTAGATCAAACGAAATGGCACATCGAGAATTTCAACTAAAAATGCAGTCCAATTGACATCAGCAATCTTTATGTAGAGCGATGACATTTTTAATGTTACAATCAAGCCCGGATTAAGGGGGGGGCCAAGGGGGGCCACGTCCCCGGGGCCCACGTATGTAAAGGGCCCATAGTCTTCGCGGCTTAAAATTACATTGAGNTAAACTGGTGCTGGACGTGGGAGTTTCTATTTCTCGATCTTTTTGCCTGGATAACATAATTAAATTGAAACATGTTTTATTCATCAGACTAGGTGCACCTAATTACGGTAATTGTTTTATTGCTAATTTCCAGTTAGGTGTGCCTATAGTATGCTTATACATTATGTTGCAAAGTCGTTTAGCAAACGTGTATTTACTTGCAAATTGAAATAATATTGTATTATCATTTGCTAATTTTGGATATTTATAGTATTAGTTATTACAGTCAATCTCGGGGTGTATAGTTATTGGAAAGATTATTGCTAAAGCACTATATATCTATTAAAGTGTGTGTGTTGGAGTGTTTATCTGGTGTAAAAGTTGTTCGGATTTTATTTTTCAGTGGAATTTATAAACGCGATGCGATTTCAAATCCTATGCAGACTGTTGCGACACCTAGAATTATATCAACAGCACAAATCCTGATATTTTATATTTTTAATCAAAATACTGATTAAAACACCGATGAGACAAAGCCTCTTAATATTACACCTATGATGTTTTAAAGTGAGACGTGGGTACCAACAAAAGTACAAATCGTTGTAAAAGTGTAAGGGTACTTGGTAGACTAAACTAATACTCAATACTTAAGTTGGTTGATATAGATATCAGCGTTTTATTATGTAAGAAGAAGATTTATGTATTCAATGATACATTACCGATAATGATAAACAATATGTTCGTTGAATTCCGTGTTCATTTCAGAGTTGGTATCAAAACAGCACGACGACACAGATGATGGAGGATCGTCAAGCACTTCCATTGTAATTATTGATGATTCTACAATTTTACCGTATGATCCGTTTTCATTCTATTCGTTAACACAGTAATTAATTTAGGATATTATAATATTGTTGATAATGTGTATTCAGTTTAATTCGATTGATTGTCATATTCCAAATAAAGTACAGATATTAAAATGACTTTTATAATATTTTATAATTCATTGTATTGTACCTATTAGATACATCATCTATGCACTTATAATACATATAAAATATTATTTCTGTCGTTTTTCTAAATTTTTAAAAAAATGACATAGTCTATTCACAAAACAATATATGTAAATATTATATTTGTGTTAAAGTTTTTATAATGCCTTGTAAGAATAATTGTATCAGGTACCTAAGTTAAATTAAAAACAACGGTGTTGTAAATATTGTCTTAAGTTTAAGTACTTACCTTAATATGATCGGGCATAGCCGCTATGAATTGTTCAGCTAATGTCAAAACACGAACATCGTGTTCCCCTGTAAAAAAAAAATAACAAAACAAACGATTCATTATATTTGAAATAATACGAAATAAAACAAAACGTATCGATGTTGTTGTGCTTTCGATGTAGGTATAATTCAATAGTATTATGTAGTTGATATGCTTACCTGGTCACTGAGACATTGTTATACTTACACGTACATCGTAGAATAATAATTAATCGCAATTAATATTTTTATTACAATACAAACAGTAATTATTATAGTCTACACACATACAACATGATAAATCATGACGACCTTCAGCGCTATATTAAAATAATATTATTATATCAACGAGAAATAAAATCGTATCAATATAGCCTAATATTATGGTGCATTCCAATAAAACGTTCTACCAAAAAAATCGAAAAATAATGCCTAGTGCCTAATGCCTACAAAGAACGGTGTAAAAATACTGCTGTGGAAGTTTGTTTCATACGCACATATGTTGTAATTATATTTCATTATGACGTTTTACACATTCATATAATATGATATTATTTACATGTTACAGGCAGATCATGCGATGCCCAGACTCGGTGATAGGTTACGCTCATTGATTTTAATTGGAGAAATCTACTAATGTTTTTATTTTTATTATCGATTCTGGTTAAAATTAAATGCAAATTAATTTATTTTAAATGCTTTAAAGTACCTATCAATGTGTCTATCGAAATAGTTGGGTTTATTTTACAAGTAATTCTACCCGTCACTGAGGTAAAATGTGGTAACTAAACCCAGAAGTTTATAATTTTTAGAACATATTATATTGTATTTCAACAATATGTCTAAAAAGCATCATATTTGGTGACATTTTAGTTTCAACCACTGAACGTTGTGGTCACAGAATGAAGGATCGAATCATACACGGCAAGTAACAAAATGTCGGATACAGTTAAGAATAAGGTATTATATAATGAGAATTATTTTAAGAGTTATTATGATTTTATGGAATTTTCAATTACGGTAAATCTGTGTTATAAGTAGTTATAACACACTTAATACTTATCTTAAAAACAGTTCTTCGTAAATCTGATAACAGATTCCGGATAATGTCCTAAGATTTCATTCAACACCGTGACTAGTCACAAAGATTTGTTCGACATGCAAAGGATCATAAATAGGGATTACAATTATCATGGATTTTAGCCTTAAGGTTCCTCTATCCCTCGCTCTTATCGTTGTCGAAGTTATACTTATCAACGACGAGGTTTTTTTGTACCGATAGCTGCATTAAATTTATATTATTATTCTTATTTACTTCCATTTTAAATGACCTAACCACCCCCAACTCTGATCTATGTTTGATGACAATGTGAATTTCAATATTTTTAAAAAATCTTTTTTAAGTGTTCCGTATAAACAAGTCATTATTTATTTTATTTTCCATAATATACACATCGTTATACTATAATTCTATAATTCAACAAAAATTTACAATAGATCGCACTACCTAATCCGGAGTTTCTTAACTGGTGGTCCGGACGCTAGGAGTCTGAAGGGGCTACTCGAAGGTCCACAGGTTTTGGGATTTTTTTGAATCACCTAAAAACAGTTTTTTGAAATAGTTCATACTATTCGATGACTCACCACTACTTAGTTTTAATTGTTGTGATTACAATTTAATTTCATATAATTTTTTATTAATTATTATATCCTTTTTTTCTTTTACTTATTCCTAATAAGTAGGCAATAAATATTTTTTCTTTTAGATATTACAAATTTACCTATATTCAGTAACAGACACTTGGATACGCATATTATTATCCTTTTATTGTGGATTTCAACACTATTGTTGGTTATATAGGTATTATAAGTATTGATTTTAGATCAAACGAAATGGCACATCGAGAATTTCAACTAAAAATGCAGTCCAATTGACATCAGCAATCTTTATGTAGGGCGATGACATTTTTAATGTTACAATCGCCAATAAACATAATTTCTCTGCTAGTCCAAATTGTCTAGTTCATATTGTTATTTATTTATTTATTTTTTTGGTGGGGTCTGACCATGGTTTGTATTTAAAGAGGTCCATGTACCAAAACAGGTTAAGACTTGACCTAATCGAAATGACTTTGGAATTTGTCGGAAAGTCACACGTGCACATCGCGATCTACCCGTAACACATAGATAATATGTACGCATATTACATAATAATGTGTGCACAACCATCTATTTTAAAATCGTAATAACACAGTGTTAAAATGTACTGTAGTGTATAGTGTTCATACCGTGTTCAGCGGGATCTTTGGGCGTTTGAACAGCGTCTTCGATTCGTTCATCGTTCTGACGTTCGTCGGATCGCGTGTTACCATTGCCATCGTTCTCACTACCCACGGCTCCGTCCGCCGGTCCATCGGCCAGCGCGGTTACCATGCCTAACGGTCAGCCAATCAAATTCTACCGTAACAAGCTAATAAAAATAAAAGCTATCGAACGCATAAAAAATAATGTAGAAAAAAACAACAGAGAGAAAAAACGGGGAGAAAGAAAATTTAAAAAAAACAAAAACCATCTGGCTTCCTACAGTGGTTGGGAGGCGATAAGTTATAGGCCTGCTTGGCCGTTTTAATTTTAATTTACTATAACGTGATAGTGCGCCCGGTGACATGGGTAAGTACGGGTAGGTATAACTAATTCCTAACAATAAAAAAAAAATAAACATAAATTATAATAATAAAAAACAAATAATAAACAAAACAAACAAACACAATTCTTGTAAGTATGCCCTGCAATACGATCTCTGAACATAATACCCGAATAGCGAATATTGTGAGTTCTCGATTCAATAATATTATAACTAATGTCATATTATGTTGATCTACATATTATTATTATTATGGCAAGTATAGTATAAAATAATAGTATAATATTACTCTACGATAAATATACAGCTATTTGTATATAACGGTATTGTCAACGCGTGACGATTAAATACGGTTAAAATAATAATAATAAATACGCCGAAAACATATTTACGTCACCTACTCACCTACGTTTACATAATAACAATATTAAATATTAACATATTTTCTAAATGTCCATTAGACCACAATAATAATAATAATAATACGTCACCTACTCACCTACGTTTACATAATAACAATATTAAATATTAACATATTTTCTAAATGTCCATTAGACCACAGTAATAATAATAATAATAATAATAATAATAATAATAATAATGATAGTAATAATAATAGTAATAATAATAATAATAATAATTATAATAATATTATTTAAGACGTAATAATTGAACTGTATACAGTATTATATATTATTATATTATTGAAGAAAGCGAAATTTTGAGTCTAATTTTTAGTAATATAATAATATATTATAATAAATTATAAATAATAAAGATATTCATTAAACAAATTATATACTTACAAATTATAAAATCAGACTTTGTTAATACTGGTGATTTTTCGGACGAATTTCCGCTGTCTGATGTAGGAGATTGTAGTGGAAGAAACAAACTCTTTTGGAACCTACACATACGAAATATTATACACGCGTGTTATTGATTACCTATTGAACGTGAATATTTATTATATTGCACTTAGTTTTTATTTAATATAAAATACAAGTTAAGATATTATTTACTTTTGAATAGATGGAAAATAGAGTGATGGTTTGCAAAATTGATCATAATAGTCATCCGATTGGAAAAAGCTATTCGGTAATGGTCTTTTGGAACCTTGAGTTTCTTGTGGTTTTATTTCGTTTTTATCTGGTTTGGTTTGCTCTTTTGAACCTTTCAGGAGTAGATATAATATTTAAATTCATTATTAAAAAAAAAAAAAAACTATGGTTAATAAAAAGATATAATATAAACAAAGCAATTACATAATAAAGTAACAGTTTTATTAGTCGGTGATATTGGATGATTTGGCTCGTTGGTCGTTTGATTAATTTCTTTCTTAACGTCACTAAAAAATATGACATTTTATGTGAATAAATAATATAACTATCTAGATGTATTTGTTCTATACCTATTGATTCCATCGGGGCTTAAAAATACATCGTTACTTAAATTGTCATTGGTGCAGTACTGATTTTGATTGAAATCGTTGAAATCTGTAACAATAATAATAAAATCATTTCATACTATTTATGTATACCTAACTAAAATAACAATCTTTTTGTTTCATACACTGATTAACGGATTCTAATATATCTGGTTGAGAGTAATCTTGATTAAAGTTATTATTCGCATTTTGAACAGTTTGATACCACTGACACAGTAAAACTGCTGTATCTTTGTGTCCTTTTTTGCAAGCCCACATCTAGAAAAATAAAATTTTAAAGTAATCATTAGAAAATATAATTAAAATAAAGAGATTATTTATTAATTTATCGCTGGTAAATTATTTACCAGCGGCGTATATCCTTCACGATCTTGTTTTGAAACATTGACTTCCATCTCCAAAAACAGTGACACATTTTCTAATTTCCATTGGAGTAGTATGCACACAAGTCTAAAACCAAATCAACAAAGTTGGAAAGATTAATTGAAAAAGTTTTAACCGTTGTTAATTATATTGCTTAATCTTACTTAGAATATCCCAAAAAAGCGGCCATATGTAAAATAGTGGTTTCGGTTTCTAATTGCTTAACATTGCATTCACTTTCAGACTTCCAAGAGAACTGTTTCATTTTTTCACAGTAATTTACAAGCTGATCTTCAAAGTTGGGCTTGCTAAACATAACGATACTATCCTTCTACAAAAAAAAACTCATTAGCTTATCAACCTAAATTGTTATATGTCAGCCAATAAATAAATATTGATAAATATTATACGTACTAAGGGTTGGTCTGTTTGTTGATTGTTCGGTTGTTGTAAGTAATCTTCGATGGAGTCGAGTTTTTGTAGCAAATGAAACTTGAGAAGAGACGGCGTATGTGACATAGCTAATGAGGAAATGGTTAGTGGGAATTCGTGTTGACGGTATTCAAATATCGCGGTGGTTGATACTGGCCTTCCATCAATGACCACTTGCAATGTAACGGTGCCTATATCATGAGCTGCAGAAAATGACATATTTGTTTTCAATAGAATTTTGATGAATTAAATCGTAAGTACATAATAAATTAGGAGTTCTAGAAGTTTAAATAGTAACACGAAAAAACCAATATAGCTGTTTTAAAGTCAGATGTGCTTAAACAGACACATTATCCAGAGCTCGCTTATTATAGTACCATCAAAGAAAATCCGAAAAAATAAGTATAAATAGCTTGTCAGATGCAATGCATATAATATTATTATTACTATTATTTTTTATTAATACAATAAGACATTCCTAGCCGTAAGCTATCTATATCCATGGATAATAGAGAACAATATTAGTTTGTAGCTATTTTAAAAGGATAATTATACAATATACATACAAAAAACATATAATATTATTAAATTATGTTAAATATGTTAAGTACACACACATTATACATTCTTAATATCTCCTTCAAATAAAACCCTCTTGTACTTAGTTTTTCTACAAAACGTAGGGAGGTACTATTATTGCTTAGATAGTCAATTATTGTAATATTATAAAAATATTATGTTTATATTGTTTATATTCATTTCAATAAAAGTAATAATTTACCTGGACAGTAGCATCGTAAAACACCTCCTTGAATTAAAGTGCTCGGAACAGCGATCGTATCAAACATAACAGTGTACGATGAGGAAGAAAACCAAGGACCGGTGATTAGTACCTTCACACCTCCCTAGAAATCAATGTAGTCAAATAAAATAGTTAATAACATAATTAATTGACCTCCACAGACCTCAGGAAACGCCCATTCGGGGCAGTAATCAGTTATTTGCAGTACGTCCATGTCTAATTGTGTTTGCCCATGTGGCTGAATATCCGCGGCATTTGTTCCAATTTCCGTAACTAGATCTGTGAAACAGTATTATATATTTAATTAAACATTTGTACGGAATGTTAATTTCTGATCAGGTGCTCATCATCACCAAATGCATACTTGAAGCATGTTGCGTTGCATGTTCTAGGATATCAAGTTCTTGGAAGTCAGTAAGCATATCAAATGCATCGAGGCTCACAAATACATCGTCTCCAGTACCATCTAGATTTTTATTACTATGATCGTCATCCAATCTGCACACAATACAAGTAATAAAATATATTATATAATAAATTATCACAGCGTGGCGTATCCAAAAGGGTGGAGAGTTTTGTGCGGAACACCCCTCTTCCTAGCCACATTTATGCAAAAAGTATATTTACTATAAATACGCTACACATATTGTCATAAATGATGGCTCATAATATTCTATTTCATAAATGATATTATTATTATGAAGGTCGATGACTACAACGGAGAGTGTGTGAATCCTCAAAAGTTGTACTTAAATATAAAATTAAGTGCCCTTAAACAGATAAGCGGTCTCGCACATGCATTATCATCTTAATATTTTAAAATTTTAAATGTTGAATATTTGGGAATAACGCAGGGCTACAAATAAGTATTGGAGAAATAATAGTAATAGGTAATTGCTAAGTCGAAAATCGGTCACGACATTGACATTTGTGATGAAACAATAATACATTTCTTAGTCAAACGAGTAGATGTTTGCCTAAATAATTTAATGATTTTACCGTAATAATTGATCAGCATTGGCACACGAGGCAGGCATATTGGCTGAAAGTGTCTGTTGTATGTCGTCATGAGATAAATCTAATGTGACATCATAGAATTCCGATTTCACGTGGTCCGACTGTTGTTTTAGATGATCTTGTCCATGGAACAAGTGTACAGTGTGCTCATCTTGATTTTGTGAAGTATGATACGTTTGTTTTTCGGTATATACGTGGATCACTTCGTCTGAACCTTGAGGTTTATATGATATCATTGTAGTGGGAATGTGATTATTGTCCGTGACGTTGATCGGTGGTTGTCTGTTGTTTAATATTTGATTATTATCTCTCTATAAATAAAAAATTAATCATTATATTACAGTTTTTTATGCGGATATTTGAATAATAAAACTTAAACAACAGTCGAGAATAGTTAAGAAACAATAATTATAAAATAACTTTTTTTTTTAAAATCAACTTGGTGATTGTTTTTCTATTCCGAAGAAGCATAATTTTCTAATTATTTGTCCAAAAGTTCAACTGTTCAAAATTATTTTTTTACTATACTAAATCTATGTGTACACTTTTATAAATAATTTTGGTTTTTAAAATATTAAAAATTATTTTACATGAATCATTTAATTAAAAAAAAAAGTATATTTAAATGCCTAAACAGTGGTTTATCAAAAAAAAAAAAAAAAAATGAATGCTGCACATTTTTCTTATTTTATAATTTTCTCTTCAAGAAAAAAAGAAAGTGGTTCCTACTTAAATACGACTTGGTGTAATATGCATGTATTTAGTGGTGTCAGCTTTACAATCAATATAGGGTTATACGACAATGTTACAACATTCGTGTCATTGCAGTGAATCCAATTACGTATTTTCTTGTCACCACTATGAGTATAAAATAATGGAACCGAATAAGATACTTACGCAATCGTGCTTGAGAATTATTTGTTGCTGTTGGGGTTGCTGTTGTTGTGGTTGATTGCGAAAATCCCTTGAGGGATTTGACAACAAGTTGTTGCTCATTGTGGTATTCAAGGAGGTTGGCCCATTTTGTGCCTGCTATTAAAATTCATATTTTTCATTGACATTATAATACTAAGTGAATTGAATATCATAATTTCTTTTATTAAAATTCAGTAAATATCGTTGACTACAAAACAGGCACTGTTTTCTAAACTAAATTGATGACCAAAAACAAAACAGAAGTTTATGTGCTATCTTAAAACAAAAATATGGGTTGATTTGTTTTAGAATGATTTTTAAATTTAATCAATATAGGTTAGGAACCTAAATTGAAAAAAAACAATTTAAATGAATGCTTTCCACGGTATTAATACGTGATCTGTGAAAACAAGTGTGTTTTCACTTTTAACGAGTGATCGAATGAAATAGTCTGCATCCTTTGCGTGTACCTTATGATTGACGTGATTAGCGATCATTAATGTGTTCATCGTGGTCCTGGACGAGTTAACGTGGTGGTTGGTGAGTAACATTGCACCAGGGCGCGATCGATTTCCAGTCGTCGACGACACCTGCGAAGCGTCGTCACCACATTTTAAGCAATCCAAATCAACAGTGGCGTCGTACAATAATTAATTATGTTATCATTATTATGATGATCAGGACCTGGGGCTTAAAGTATTTGTTCATTTTTTTTTTGGTTTGAAATGAAATGTAGCCGATCGCTTTGAAAGTTATATTTATATATTGCCTCATGTGTATGACAGTATAACATGTTACTCTACTAGTTTTCTAGTCTTATCTGTTTTTTACTTAACCTGCTATTGTTTGCATATTTTATGCGTGACGATATAATAGATAGCTCTACTGACAAAAGTTAATTATTTTTGCAGTGTTGAAAAATATATTCAGCAATCTACACTTATATTACACCACAAGTTTTATAATGTTATATGAAGATAAACGTGGTTGGTTTTTTATTTTATTTTATTTTTGATTTGGGGGGGGAGAGGTTACAATTGTTTTATGTTTTTTTTAATTCTCGATTTGGTGCATGTAGCCACGTTCTGAAGTGCTATTCAAATAGGTGATTTTAGATGCTTTAAGTCCCGGTCCCTGATGACAACCATAATATTATTGTTACTACGTATACTATTTTTATTTCCAGAACATTATCAAAGTAATGATTTATTAAAAAACGCACCTGATTGCTGTCGGACGGCGAAATCCGTCTGATAGGGCGCGAGCACGATTGTCCGTCGGCGCACGTGGAATCCGGACATCCGCATTCCAGCGTTCGGCTAAGTAGCGTCGCCCTGGCGTTCTTCTGCCACTCCATAAGCTGTGTGACCATGGCCGCTACGCACTCGGCCGTCTACCGGATAACGTAGTATAAATGTATAATAAGACATCAGCTCACTGGGTTTGGTTGAGGTTTTAGGTGTAGTGCATACATAATATGGTATTATGTATTATGCATAATATTATACATGTAGGGTGGCCCACAACGTTTTCCTGTTTTCTTATTTGGTCATGTACATAGGAAAACGGTAAACCGCGGTGGTCCACCCTGTAGGATATTATGTAGGTCACATTATTAAGTCGTCAAAGGACGACGCCGTAATCACAATATTATTTCTCTTTATATGAGCTTTATTGTTAACTAGATTTGAATCACTGCGAGATTGCAAGCGCAGGGTTCGAACCGGAATCATGGTAGTCATCGGTATACACAGACCAGACACAGAGATTTCTAGAACAAACTAGCAGACTCCAAGCGAGTCATCGTTTGACATTTCACCGATAATGGGATGGTTAAAACCTTCCGGATGTATAAATTTCGTTATCAAATTATTATACTTAAACAGAATGATATATTCATTAGAGTATTAGACCAATGAGTGTATACGACTGAAATTAACTACTGTTATTCCATTTTCTCTTTTGTTATAAAAATACTTGAAATAAACTAAAAGCAATTGCTGCACTGTATATACCCTTACAGGTGGTTAATTATTTGTATGTACATAAACGTATGTAGTTCATTTTTGAAATTTAACGAATGCCACGTTTGCATAATACTGTTTCTTTACGTGTTTGTCTTTTCCCGTTTATATATATGTCTTCATAAAAAAAAAATTGAAGTCGGAATTGAAAAGCACGAAGAACTCTATAAAATCTACCTAGTCGAATGCAAATATATTATGATTGAAACGTAAACTATCGTAACATATAATATATTATAGAAGGTACCTACAATATTTATCTGTTTAAATTTATTTAAAAACATGTCAGTATGTATTTTTTCTTCTAACTCACAATATAGTAACGTTTTGAATGACATTTAACAAACCAAAAAAAATGTTTAATTTATTGTATTCATGGTTCTTTTGCAGGAAAAGTTAGCTTACATTGTAAAAAAACGTCGAGTAAAACATGTATGCTAATGAAACGGATCCTGAAAAAGCTCACGATAACTTTGAAAAGCAATATTAAAAGTTAAGAGTATGCATGCAGTGGAAAGGCCGTATTTTAGATTTGAAAAGTTTGATATGACGACTTTGTATTATTTGCATGTTAAGTATTCTCTACAACAATAAAAAATCGGTAATTTGTTTGTCTACTGTATCAGTTTAAAGAAGTTGATTACATTTGGCCGTAAACATCTATTTTTAGTTTCAGATTATTTGTTAGTTATTTGCTTATTTTAGTTTTAAATTATCGTACATTTTAATTCATTCGTATACTATACCTAATAAATTTAACATTATAAAAAAATACAATTTTTACCTCATCTAATCACAAATTACAAATTAATCAAAAAATTCGTTCTTATTCCTTAGAAGTCCAAACCTTGATTTTTTTTTATGCAAATGCCTATTATTATGATGAAATAACTAGTTATTTTTACAGTTTTTATACAACGACAACACATTATTTTCCACAATATAATGATTAGTCATTTGAACTCTAAATGTCATGTCTTACGATTAAATCTAATTCCCCCAAACATTTCAAAGTAAAACAAATGTCAAATGGTATGTTTTACATTTACTTTTAGATATTGTTAAAATATATACACCAGTACCAACAACGATTTTGGTTTTTTAAATATATTAATTTAGTTTTTAGATTAACATTAATATCAGTATTCGTTATTTTTCGATAAATAGTTGATAGTATTTTATTTTGCTATTTAAATTTCAAATTTTATTTATTTATCTAAATACAAATTCACATGTTAAAAATATTGCTTAGTAATTAATTGAAACTATATTCTAAAGAAACTTTGCATTGATAATTAATAATTAATAATAATTTATAAATTATGCAAACTCTAATTTATTTCTATTGGTAATTATAGAGTTCTAAGAATTAATCTAAAATTGTTTGAAATTTAAATTAATAAGTCGACTGAGAATGTTTTGGATATACATAACTAATTTTATAGTTTCAATAATAGCTTGAGCAAAAGCCATTTTAGCACTGGTCATTACCAGTTATAAATATGTTACCTGTAAATAATCAAAATTCAGTATATTTTTTTTAATTTAAACTTCTAAAATTACAAATTGAATCACTATGATCAACATATATCTAAATTGACAATGAAGGCATATTTTTGAATATTTTTTCGTTTATTTGTGTATGTGTGTGCTATTTAAAAAAATAAAATCATATTGTGCTACAAAACTTGACTGGAAATTTAGCAGTAGATTATTAAACAATTTGAAAAATGAATTAACATTGTAGTTTGTACAATGATTCATGAAATTACTAAAAGTCTGATTTATGATGAGGATAATTCATTTCAGAATGTTGTTTTTATTTATCATTATATTATGTGTTTTGAAGTTTATAATAAATTTCTTTGGTATAAAATGGGGTAAGTACTTTAATCACTTGTCGAATAAGTAATTGTAAAATGAATTCTGATTATATTATATTGTAACAAAACGTACTTCTATTTATCCATAAAATATTTTAAAATTACGTTTCAAAAATAAAGTTCTTTACCGGAAAAAAAAATATAAAATGGCTAAGATAACTTTACTAGAATGTTAATAAATGTTTTCAAATTCAATATTAATCGTTTTTTAGTTTAATGTAGTCGCACTATTAACGTCACTGTCCAAAACTGAAGTTCATTAAAAATAAATCATGTGTCGAATGAAAACCGCTTTTTTTCTGATTGATGGAATATTATAAGACAATAGCTTTTATTTTAAAATTATTTAGTGTATAAACTAAACCAACGGTATTAGATGCATAGGATCAGGAATGTCACGTATTTTTATAAATGGAATAATATAACTACAAATCAAGAAATATGTAAGAGTATCGTAATATGAACTAACAGTCATACTTGACTATACCAACGATATAAATTTTGTTTCCAAATATGAAAGTAAATACCTATAATAGCTATAATGGACAAAATACAGTTATGTGAATTTTAGATACCTACCAACATTTATTTAAATATATACTTATATTATTCGAAGTAATATTAATTTTTGTAAATGAATTAGGAATCAAAATGCACACTTTAGAGTGGTATTGAAATAATTTATAAAAACACAGTTTTAAAACCATTAATATAATATCATTAATAATATTATGTTACAAATACAAATAAATAATTAAAAATAAAATATCAACCTATTAAGATAAATAAAATATTATCAATTAACAACAAATTTTAATGGTTTGTTCTGTTGTTCGTTTTTGAACGTTCCATTTTATTTTGATCTGAAGATTTAGGCGATTTACGTTATTATAGGTTAAAATGGCTCACATAATATGGGTTAGTTATAAATATTTAAAAATTCTATTGTAGTTTTTCTATAAAAAAATAACTGGAATAAATTTTTTGTTAACACCATAGTGAAAAAAACAAAATGGAGCGATTTTAACAATTTGATATGATTTTTCTGCGGTCTATGATAGTATACGTAGTTGTATCTTTTTAAATGATCGATTATGGAAATGTTTCCACATTTGAATAAAATTATAATTAAAATATAATAGTCTTTGTATTTTTTTAGAATTAAAAAAAATATATTTAAATAGATACAATGTAGATACGTTTAAATATTGTATATGTTCAGTTATAATGTATCGTGCGCCTATATTGTTACGTGTGTAAGAGGTGTTTATTATATTTTAAACGGGCTCGTTGACCCAATTTAATTTTGTTCGAAGCACTACAAGTACTTACCGATACTTCCATTTCGTTGCTAAGGTCAGGGTCTTCCTCGTAAACTGAAAAACAAATGATAAACAAAAGATATTTTTTATACTGTAGAGGAATAATTCTGTAAGTCAGATATAGTATGCGAAGTACTTGCAATTCTTAGGCGTACTTACACATGGGTTTCAACTGAGATAGTAATTCGTCTTTTGTCCACTCTTTACGATCAGCCCACAACGCAAGGCTCGGTGAAATTACCGATAATTTGTTGTCGTCCGGATACGGTACATTCAAATAGTGCACCAACACCATATCAGGATTCTATTGATAACCGGAATTAGACACATGATATTATTGCTATAATCGAGTATCATTAAAAAAAAAGTATCATCGTTGTCGGGTGCGTTTGAGTTTCCATTTTTAATTTCTATGGTTTCAGAATTATAAAAAAATTGTTTTATACGATTTATAAGAACTTATATTTTTAACACGCTATGTCATGGCTAATCGATAAGTACGTACCTACGGTTTATATCGAAATAAAATGTGTCTCGAGTACCCCTTACTTACTTTGCACATTTTAATAGGCGTACAAAAGAAGTTATCGTAATTCGTATTGTTTTTAAAAAGCCAATTATGATATTTAAAACGCGGTGACAATTTATTCTTCATTGTAAGTTTAATATGTATTTTAAAAATGACTGATCGGTTGATATGTTGATGTTATTTCATCCAAAGAAAATAGGAATATAAAAAAGTATTTTTAATCCACTCACGCATACGTTCGTGGGTTCGTGGTGTCTATATGTATTATGTAATTCAAAAGTGTATTTGACGAATTAAAAAAATATTTTAGAAAAAAAAAAAATAAGATTTATAGTGAAACAGATTTTTTTAAAACAAAGTAATGTTTGCAATTTTTTTTATACGATTTTGAGTATGCGTTTAAATTTAAACAGGTTTCATAATATTTTATAAGACAATAAAAGTAGGTAGTTGTCGATATTGTACGAACACTCACTTGTAATAACCAGTAACATCTTCTGTGAAATGTCGGAAGTATCGCTGAATGTACATAGCACCCATAAATGCACTAAAAAAAAAAAAAAAAACAATAATTATTATTATTTTATAGCGGTTCGTGGGGGGTAGGATTGGGATGCCCATTGTAAATATAGGAATTGAGTAGAATAAACAAAAGCAAAAATATTATAATCTCTGCTTATTTATAGTGCGACAAGATTCATTATACGTCATTGTACACATACTGTTCCAGTGTGTGCTTTGATTTGTCATGCAGGTCACAGGTGTACAGTTGCATGTTATTATATTTGTAGTTGAAACAAATATAACAATATTATATACCATTAACTGAACCCTTATTGTCCCATTAATTTTCTATGCGTTATAAAAATAAATAGTATAAGCGTTTTTTTTTACTGCATACTGTTTATGACAAACGGTTATAAATGCGATGACACGGTCGACACGTCTTCGAGGGCGAGTGTAAAAAGTGAGTATTACTCATCAATATATAGAGTTAGACGACCGAGTTATGTACACACATAGAAATCAATAAAACTAACTGTCGTAAGCCTGCAAGCTAATCGTATTTATTTAGCGGCGATCAGGACGGTTCTTAGAGGGCCCATGAACCAGTAGTTTTTTCTTAGATTTGCGGCCTCGCGTTAAAAAAAAAGGTTGGAATTAGTTTCAAAAATAATAATATTTCACAGCATTTAAAAGCATTTTCAAGCATGTTGTTTCATAAAGGATAATGGTGGTATTTCTCTTGAACGATAGGTACGACAAAGGTACGCATAATATAATATTATGTTCCTTACAAGTTAATAAATGTCCCGGTCAAGCGTATGATAATGGGCTTAATGTGGTAGGAAACACAAAGTAGTTCAGTAATATTTTCAGAAAACTTCGGAGCTTTATTTTGTTCTGTGCACTACTCATACCCGTAATTTGCTTCACGAATATGATCCATACTAGCTGCTTTGAGTTTTTTGTGCAATTCAAAGACTAAACTTTTTTTCTGCCTCTACTGAAAGATATAATTATGAAACATAAATATGTGGTATTTTTTAAAGTTAATTAGTTTTGATTAAATTAATATGTTCAGTAAAAATAAATGGGTATTTTAAACAGACATTATTTATTTAAGACTTAGCAATTATTTTTTACCTGGCCACGAAAATAATAAGGACAGCCCTGCCAATTCGAGTATTATTTTATACGATGCCACATGCTTAGTCTATTCGCATATTATAATTCATATTTTATGTTAGTCTTTAAGTTACAATTTTAAATAGAAGAGCTTTGGTGATAAGATTAATTTATAATGCGTTAATACTGAGTGGAATTGGAAAGGGACTTGCTCTATGTATTATTATATCTATAATATTATGTTTTAATGATAATAGTTGTGAGAAATTGTATATTTTGTGTTTTGATAAGTTTGATCATAAATATATATTTTAGATTAAATGAGTATTAAAATAAGTACAGTGATTGTGTTTGGTTTCGCTCGACGTAGTATCAATTGCAAAAATTGTGTTTTCAAACGTGTAAAAAAAAAACAAATTTGTCTAAAAGTAAAAAGTTTAGTAAAAAAAAAAAGCTATCATATTTTATAACAACTTAGTCTGCACAGGAAATTACAAAATGCACTGCCTGCTCGTAAACAACTTTTACGGGCAATTAAATTTCGGTGAACGCGCGACGTGTACAGGTACTTATATATTATTATCTTGCAAGGTGCTCCGGCGACCGGCGGTTCCGGTTGGTCGCGTTCGCGAAAGTCCATCGCAAGAAAATCGTAATTGGCGTCTTTGAAATCATTGTACGTAAAATTGGAGTAATTTTAATTGGATACGGGTCAGGAGACGGACAGGAATCGACAGGAAACGCGGCTCGGGATGCACTCGTTCACCGTGACATCGCATACAGTTGGCACGGCCGAGCGCTGCATTAAATCCCTGTAGGCCACACGCGGTATTATGGCATTAAATCTTAAAGTTTACACTCCGAGTTTGGAGTTGCCCGAGAAACCTGAGCAGTGTCTTGGAGTAATTACAAGAATTCGTTCTGGCGAAGAACATCATTTTTTCTACGCCAAGAGTCACCGTGCAAGGGAGCAGGCTCACACGCCACTGTAGTTCCGGACCCGAGGCTATTATGTTAGTTGTGTCTCCAATCCAAATTTGATACAAGTTTGGTTTCGGTTTGCGAACAAAATTATGATGTACAAGTTGAGCCCCAGGCACGTAAAGTATACTGTTAACTTCTGTAATACTGGCTTATTAACAGATAGGTCGCAGACATGTAAGGGCGTGCTCAGACTGTACTATGGTAAGTAAGAAAGGTTATCACCCTGCACAAGCTGAACTATTCTATCTACCAAACAGCTTTGTAAAAGTATCAATAAAAAATGTAAGATAGCAACTGTGAGCGTTTTATAGAAACGAATCAACTATTATTTTTGTAGTTTTTTTTTTAGGTAAAAGAGACTTCTATTAGTTCTTAGCTCTCTCAAAAAAAAAAAATAAATAACGAGTGTCTCTATGGGTTCACATAATTGTGTGTCCGTATATAGAGCTGGATTAAGCATACAGTCATACTCTTGGGTTTACAGAGAGAGAGAGAGAGAGAGAGAGAGAGAGAGAGAGAGAGAGACGTTATAATAATATTCTAAATATTATTGTTCGATTTGACATTGACGATAACATTCAGCAATAATAATATAGTTAAATACAATCTAATTTGTATTGATATTATTCGATGGTTGTAATCAACACCAAATATATGATGGTATTAACTTTGTGATAAGGATATCTATGGTTATTTTTTTTGAAATTCTTTTACCAGTTTGTATCGTAAAGCTATTACAATTGTTAGAAACCAAAATTAATACGTACGATATTCGACGTAATGGAAAATAAGAGATGCTTGGCAGATCTACCTCTATATGTACGTATATCACTGTTACAAGGGGTGGGGAAATGGTTGATTTATATGGGCCCTTTCAGCTATTTGTTCGACGGTGTAAAATAATTCGTTGTCATAATAAATAACCATAGTAATAATAAGCGTTATTAGCTTGGTTTCAGTCATCGTCGTTAAATCGTGAATAAACACGTGTAGTAATAATCATAATAATTCTACTGTCATCATCATTATAATATTTAACATAATGTATTATAATTTATTGGGACGTATTCATTATATAAGTACGTACGTTTTGTACGAAACATAAACAATAATTGAAAAATGTCGCACGGCCGACCGACCGGCTTGCAGACGTCCGGTCGTCTGGCCGACTGTCTGCACGTACGGTATACAGAGATTGCGATAAACCTTAGTGCATATAGGCTGTGTCGGTGGCGCGTGCGGGTGAGGGGACGGAGGGTGGAGTGGAGCAGAAGTGGTTGTAAGGGGTGCACGTCACGTAAAAACGGAAGAAAGAAAAACGTCAACGAGACATTTACATTTTCCGACAAGACGGTCGGTACGGACAATGAGAGTTATTTTTGCGTACAGTGAAATTATTGTGGACTGCGAATGTGTATTATAATAGTATATTGTCGACGTAATAGTAATAATCTGATGTGAAATAGCTGACGAACGTAAAATACGGTAAGACGGCATAAAATACGTAAGTATAAAAATAAACAGTATAATTTAAATAAAAACCATTGTGAATGTATTACATTAAACTGCAGCGGTATGACCGTTTGGGAAATACGTGGTTTTGTTAAACACTGAAAAAAGGTTTCTGCCGGGCAGGGAAAAACGTCAAAACGTCCAATAGCTGCCCAGTGTTCAGGTTTTTATATATAAATATGAGAACAAATCGAAACAATATATTTGTATTTTTTTTTTATATATATATATATATATATATAAAACAAACTATCCGCGGCGTCTGTGGCGATTGGACGTAACGGTACATTATCTATAAATATATTTACATATTACGTTGATTTTTTAAATAATGATTTACAGATTAGCATAATATTTAAAAACAAAGAAAAATAATAATAATTAGGAGAGAAAAAACAGAGAGGTTAAGTATTAAGTATTATTTACAATCTACAATTTGTTTATGACATGTGTTGCTGATGGGAATCGAATGATTTTGGATATGTTGTCGGAGTCTGGACTAAGAACTTCATCGGGGTGGTTGGAAATTTTCGTATTTTTTCAAAGCCTAATATTTCTTATTTTGTTGTTATTTATAGTCATGTAGTCGTATAAGCATGATTCAGTGTCTCAGCCCTCTCCGTTAACACTTACAGCTATCCGCACACGGTGTCAACTTGGATTAAAGTTATTACACACGGACAGCATAAACAAGTGTTCGAAATTCAGCAGTTTCCGTGTCCGACGGTGGTTTAACACAAGATACCTCCGTCACTGCAGCGTAAGAGTAGATTAGAAAAAGCTTTTCGGATGCTTCATGCGAAACAAAAATATCGAAGCCGACATATTTTGTAGAAATCGCTTTGCGATTAAACAATAATAATATTGTAAAAATAATTACAACACCGCCGCTCCGTTTTCGTGAAGTTCAATTAAATTAAATTATATTTATAATATACCGCGTGCCCGCGAAAAATGAGTACACTCTATTACTCAGTGCCCTATACATATTTTATAACTATTTCTGGGGAAAATTCGTGGTCCACTGGTCTAGTTTCATATCCTGCGAACAGAATTCAAAAATATGTATAGCTTTACTGAGTAATGTGAGTAATTTAATTATGTGGTGGCCCATGTTTTCGAGGACACACCGTGGTATACAAATATCACATATTTATTAATTTAACAGCGAAACTAGACATAATACTGGAAATCTGTAAAAGTTCGAACGAATAATGTTGGACATCGTATCGCCGAATACTTCACGTCGGTAATTAATTTATACGTTGCGTCCGATTTACAACGACGGATTTTGTAAAATACGTTGACGGTTCGGAAATTTATGAATTATTACGACTGCGGTATACCTATACTGCTGAGGTTGCAGTTCGGTCACAAATGTTCAATCATATTATATTATATTGGTGGACCAATGTTGTACGG